GTAACAGAGAATTCTTTTATCTATTTGGCTCTCTATGCTCAACATGCAAGTTTCCAACCTGACCATGGGAGATTGCACGTCTTTGGGTAAACCTAAAAGAACTCTTAAAAAATAATTCTGTGGGGGTTCCAGACCGGAGACCTTTGAGGTACCCCAAACCTCTGCACCATATAAAATCTGGGCCATTGTTTTTGCTTTATACACAGATAGAGCTGGGTTGACCAGATTTCCACCTTTACATGCAGCGAATTTCAGAATGGCTTTTGCTGATTTAAAGGCTTGCAATTTAATATTGGATAGCTGTGTATTCCAAGATGCCGTTTCTGAATAAATCAATCCCAGATATTTAAACGTATTTACTTGGTTTATGATGTGTTCATCCAGGTGCCAAACATGCTTTTTAGAACGCTTCCCAAATACTATGACCTGAGTCTTATCATAGTTTATAGTTAAAGCATTCCTCGTGCAATATGAACTTAATTTTGCAAGCAGCCGTCTCAGGCCCACCTGGGTTCTAGATACAAGTACTAGGTCATCAGCATACATTAAAACAGAGTTTTTGGTCGAGAATTGTAACAGGGGCAAACTGTAGGCCCTCCAGTTCTTTAACCATGTCATTAATATAAAAGTTGAACAGGAAAGGTGCCAAAATGCATCCCTGTTTGACTCCAGTAGTGGTCTTAATTCTAGTGGTGAGATGGCCAGCCAGATCCACCTTTACTTGTATTGATGTGTCAGTATATAATGTTTTGATGAGAAATAATAGACGGAGGTCTATATTTGTCTTTTCCAATTTTTGCCACAATGCGTGTCTTGGGACCGTATCGAAAGCTGACTTTAGATCGATAAAAGCAACTGTCAAGGCTGCCTCAAGTCTTAGCTCACAAAAGACCAACGCCTACGTCTTCTTGTATACAAAGGTGTTTATTGCAGTTCATGGTTTGCTTGACATCCTAGGCGCGCAGCCTTACGTCTCTTACGCTAGACCGCCGAAGTCCCCTCTGAGTCAGTCCCTCCTCTGCACCAATTTAAGAGACTTACGCTGCTCCACCTCTTTCTCTCCTTCCTTTTCCGCAGGGTCCTTCTACCCACTGGGGTTTCCCCCCTCCTGGATTCCTCTGACGCGGAATCAGACTGCTCTTCCCCCCCCTCCTGCGGGCTTTGGGACCTGGCCCCTCCTCCGGGCTCCCTGCACTTCCGCGCGCCTCTACATTTGAACTAGGCGCGCGCGCCAAACCTCTAACTTTCCTTTTGACAGTTACACTACTCCCTGCACTGCTCCCCTCACCTTCCGGGAGGGCAGCTTGCTCTGACCCCCTCCTTTCTCTGCTGCTGGAGCTGCTTCCTCTGACACACTGGAAACTCCACCCCTTCGCTGCACTTTGGTGGGGAGGCTGGTCCTGACGCCCAGCTGCCACTTTGGGATCCTCCGCTGGCACCCTGCTCCTGACACTTCCCCCTGGGGCTCCTGGCCCTGACCACCGGCGCCCCTTCTGGGAATCCTCTGATTCGCTGGAAAGACTCATGGAATCCCTTGAGTCATTGTCATCCTCTTCCTCGCTGGTTTGGAATTCCTCCCCCTCGCTCTCCATCTCCTGCCTACCCTGTGCCTCTCTCCCTGAACCCCTGACAGCAACATATAATTTTTGCTTCAAATTATGGATGTATTTACATAGCAGAAAGTTCAGCACAAAGCACTGGTCCAATGTGGATTTACCTCTTTGGAAACCTGCCTGGACTTCAGATATCACCTTATTTGTATCTGCCCATTCTTCTAGTCTCCCAAGAAGGAGCCTGGCAAACAAAACTATTGAAAGAACTGGCGGATTGGCTAGGGGTCGAGGAAGATGAATTACTTTTGGACATTGAAAAAATATTTAGGATTAACAAGTCAAGAAACAAAAAGGGAGATTGTTTAGTATTTCTGAACTCGAGGCTACTCAGGGAAAAAATCCCATTAAAGAATAGGACTGATCCCTTGTGTATAGAGGGCAAAGTAATTGAAATTATGAAGGAGATCCTGACCAGGTTGTTGAAGAGAAGAGACAATTACAGATTCTTAACAACAGCGCTGAAGAAGAATAAAATTCTGTTTAGGTGGGAATTTCCTGAAGGACTTACCTTTACATATAAAGAGAGAAGAAGAACCCTTAGATCGGTGGAGGAGACCAGAATTTTTTGGAGGAAGTACTGGGAGGAGTTGGGAGGAGAAAGGCTCCAATAGCGAGAAGAAACAAGATAAAGCTAGAATTATTATAACGACTTCTATCTTTCGTGCCCTTATAGCATTTCTTTTTCTTTACCAACTACCCCCAATTTTAAAGTAGTTCATATAAATTTAATAAAACTGTATGGCCTTTAAGTGTATTTCCTGGAATATTAATGGTTTGAACAGTAAACTGAAAAGGAACAAAGTAGAATGTACCTTAAAGAAAGGAAAATGGGATATAATATGTCTACAAGAGACCCATGTATCTAAAGATCATATACAGGTACTAAAAAACAAGAACTTGGGTCTGGAGTTTATAGCCGCAGCGGCGGAAAATAAAAGAGGGGTGGTAATTTATGTAAAACCAGCGTTAAGTCCACAACTAATATTTCAAGATGAGGAAGGAAGAAATGCAAATACAAATAAATCAAGAAAAGATAATAGTGGTAGGAGTGTATGCTCCAAATAATAATAAATCTGAATTTTACAGAAAATTGGAAGAGAAGCTTTGGGAATTCGAGAATGGAAAGATAATTATGATGGGAGATATGAATGGAGTTATATCTATTGAAATGGATAGAACTGAGAGAGGGGAAAAATCAAACTCAGGCAGACTACCATTATCGTTCTTCCAGTTGACTGATAATCTTAATTTATTCTATACCTGGAGATTGAAGCACCCCACTGAAAAGGATATTACCTATTTTTCCAAAAATAAAAAATCGGGAGGGAGAATAGAAGCAATTTGGGCCTCAAAAAAATTGACATTGAGCTTGGTAAAAGCAGAGATTCTGAATAAATCTCTCTCAGACCGTAATCCAGTTACTATACACATAAGATTTAAAAAACATACGAGAGGGAGGTGGAGGATGAATGACGATGTTTGGAGAGATGAGCAAAAGGTGATTAAAATGAGGGAATTGTTGAAGGAATTTTTTGAAATTAATGAGAGACATGGGACAGACAGGAAAATCATCTGGGATACCATTAAAGCCTATATGAGAGGAATTGGAATACAACAAATGGCAAGAATAAGCAAGGATAAAGCAAAGGATACTATGGAAATAAATAAACAGATAAGGGAGAAGGAAAAAGAACTGTTGAAAAATCCAAAACAAGAGAACATAATCTAGAATATTAAAATTTTACAATCCCAATTAAACAATTTAAAAAACAAAGAGGTAGAAAATAAGATTAAACGGACAAAACAAAGGTATTTTGAATCGGCAAATAAACCTGGTAGAATGTTGTCCTGGCTAACAAAAGAGAAACAAGTGGATAGGGTTATAAATAAGATTATTGAACAAGGAAAATAAATTACAGACCCGGACCAAATAAAAATGATGTTTAGGAATTTTTATAAAAAATTATACAAGTTGGAAGACAAAGATGAGAATAAAATTAAAGAGTATGTAAGAGAAAACAAAATCCCTGAAATAGATGGCAAGGAATTTAGTAATTTAAACTTGTGCATAAGCTCAGAAGAAATAAGAGAGGTGATAAGGAAAATGGAAACTGGGAAATCACCAGGCCCAGATGGAATACCGATTACATATTATAAGAAACTAGAAGATGTAATAATCCGTAGACTTAAAAAGATCATGAATGAGATAATGGAAGAAGGGAAAATTCCTGACTCTTGGCGCGAAGCGTAGATAACCTTACTACCAAAACAAGGAATGGACCCAAATATTATAAAGAACTACAGGCCAATTTCACTATTGAATATTGATTACAAAATTTTTGCAGGTGTGTTAGCAAATAGATTGAAAAAGAGTAATAGGCAGGGATCAGAATGGCTTCTTACCAGGGAGACAGATAAAAAATAATACAAGAAGGAGGTGGGACGGACTAGAAGGAGGTGGGACGGACTTCCGCGTAGTCTTTGCTCACGGACAGATGCATCTCTCCCACTTTGCCAAGGTTGGGAGGTACGCGTTCGTTAGCGGAGCTAGAAGGGGGAGCTAAGGCTATGCTGACCCCGAAGCCTTGGAAAGAGATTCCAGGGTGATATGGCGTTGCTGCAGCACGAAGAAGAGGACCCCCAGACCATTTTCAAGCTCCAAAAAGCTGAGCAAGAAGGGGGAGAAGGGGGAGAACTTCTTCGGTGCTAGTTCCTGCAACCCTCCGCTGACGAGAAGCCCAAGTCCCGTGGGTATGTCTATGGCTACACTTCTAACAAACTGAAGCAAACCTAAACGATTAGCCTATTCACTTACTGAACCTGCTAATTTACGATTAAAACAAAGCGTTTGATCTTAAAACAAAGTGTTTGAACCTAAATGGCTTTTCGCAACTGACCAAGATTTACCTACAAGCTATATCAGACTGTTTTTTTTTTCAAAAAAGACGTCTATTCCATTAATACCTAAGACGTTTTAGCCATCTTTTCCTGCTGGAGTTATGAACAAAAAGATTACCTGTGGCTTCATTAGTGTTGCGACAGAAATAAACCAAGAAGTCATGAAGAAGAAATACTTATAAAAAAAGACCTTTCCCAAGTGGTGAAATATATAAAGGGGTTTCCAGACTCTTCAGTATAAAATTAACTGTTGTTCACAAGTTAGTTTTCAACTGTCTGTTTACGCTGGCAAAGACTCTCCTCCCTGGAAGAGCGGGGAGTGGTTGTGGGCGGGAGCCCGAGCACCGCCCCTAGCAGGGGGCATTAGCCCCCTGCCTCCTCCTCTCACCTGGCTGGCGCCCACGCCCCCTTGGCAGGCATCCAACCAGGTGCCTTCGAGGGGGCGTGTTCAGCAGCCTTTTGCGGCGGTGCCAGCCTCTCCTTGGCCTCATTCTTCTCCGTCCTCTCGTCGTGAGTCATCAGCTAGGAGTCATCACAGTCTTCACAGGGAAGAGCCACGAGGTTTGGAGTCGGGGGGGGGTCTGTGTGTGTGGAGGCTGCCTGGTTCCTGGCTTGCCTTTTAACTTTAGGAGGCTTGCGTGCACTCATTGCTTTACTGCTTTTAAAAACCCAGGCATCCAGATTTGCCTTGCTGTGTCCTCTTTTCCGTGTAAAAACCTACATTTAACCTTCTATTTCCCCCCACTCCTGGTGCTTGATTTGTTTGTGCGGTCTGAGTGCGAATTACCTTTCTTAAGCTGCAGCTTGTTCCCTTGCCCAGTACGTGCCCCCAGCGAGGTCTGAGTGTGAGTGTGGCTCTGTCTTTCTTTCTCCCTCGTCTCCTCGCTTTCCTTCCCCTGCCTCTGCCTTGGTGGCTGTGCGTTTTTATTTAATTTTTGGCCAGGGTGCGTGTACGTTTTCTCCTCTATTGCCCTTGCCTGTCCAATTGCATGGCTGGTCTGGGTGACTGAGTGGGTTTGCCTTACATTTTAATTTGTTGGCCAGGGTGCTGCTGCGTTTTCCCCCTCCATTGTCCTTGAGAGTCTGGATAGCTCAGTTGGTTAGAGCATGGTGCTGATAATGCCAAGGTTGCAAGTTCGATCCCTGTATGGGACAGCTGAATATTTCTGCATTGCTTGGGTTGGACTAGATGATCCTCAGGGTTCCTTTTCCTGTTCCTCTCTAATTTTAAGTCGTGTGTGTGTGTGTGCTTGCAGCGTGTGTTTGTGCCTGCCGTTTATTGATTTGTGTGTTTGTGCCTGCTGTTTATTGTGCCTGCCGTTTATTGATTTATTACTCTTCTAGTGTGGGTTTAATTTACCCTGCAATCCCTTCCATTGGTACCACTTAAATCGGGAGCCCCCTGCAAAATTTTAAAGGCTGCCGGGGCTTGGAATAGACTGTGCGCTTAAACCTCACCCCTCTTGGTTTCTCTAAGCCAACCCCCCCCCCTTCGCTTGATGTTTGGGGGAAGAAATAAGGCAGGGCTTGGGGTGGACAATTCAGGGTTTCTGATCAGGGAACCATTCCTCAGCACTGCACGTTTATACGTTTAGAACCTTTGAAGGTGTGCCTTTGCCTGGTTCTTGTCATTGGCTTCACTTGCCAGTACAGGCTCCCTAAAGAAAACCACTTTTAAACAACAACAACAAAAAGGTTTTGGCTTATAGTACCTTACTGAAAAGTCCAGGTTAACCCACGGTTTATATTTCCACTTCATTTTGGCTCACTGTAAAGGACAGCTATTTTCCTTTTCTTCAAAAACTTCCTTGCCCGGCATGTTCATTTTACTCCCCCTCCTCCCTCCCAACTCCCCCACGCTTTCCTTCTCCTCCCCCACCCGTCCTCCCTCCCTCCACCCCCCAACCTTTCAGGAGATACATTGGTCTTTGGAGTTCCCTTTGCTTCTTGCCTGAGTCATCACAGTTACCAGACAGGTTTTTCAATTGCTGGGTTGAGAGCTTGATTGCTCTCTGAGTGACCGGCAGTTTGTGAGGCATTGTCTTTAAGCACCTGGGAGTTCAGCAGCTCTAGTTGCACTGTCAGTTTAACTAACCAGCAGTTTGACCAATTGCAGTCTTTTGTCTGTTTAAGCACCCTTATTTCAATCAACTGGTATTGAGCCGACCTTGTGGGCAAAGATTTACTTTTCTTTGTTTGGCAAAGTTTCCTTTGTTTGGAAGAAACAGCAGTGAGATATTCCCCTTAAGAGCAACCTCACCCCTCCTTTTCAGAGGGCCGTTGGTGTGGGCCTGGAATCTTATTGATTTCCTTTTCTCTTAATTTGGCTGCAGCTTCTGAGCATCTCCTTGTAAGCAGTTATTTTCAATTCTGTTTGATTACTTGGCAATGCTTTGTGCCTAGATTTGCCTATCATTTAAAAGGGGCAACTTTTATTGTAGGCAATTATCTTCTAATTCTGTCTGACTGCAGTTGGGGTTGCTCTGTGTATGGGATTGTTCCTTGGAGCCAGGTGCTAATATGTAGCTGAGCGCTGCTGCTTGAACTCTTGCTGGGTTGTGATTTAATAAATATAAATAAATACAAGCGGTGCAGTTAAGTGACGTATAGCTTGTTCATTTTGTCAGCAGTTACGCAGAGCAATTGATAATAGTAATTCCTACTCATAGCTATAAATCCATTGGCTATTAATTGAGATACTATCGATTAATAATTAATTCATCAACAGTGCTCCGAACTTTATTGATGCACATAATTGTATACTAGCATTTAAGTACAGTCAAGTTATTAATTGATTGGTGATATTAATACTAATTAAAAAATAGCAACAATAATTAAATAAAATAATAAAATAAAATAAATTTGAAAAATAAATAAATAATAATTAATAATAATAATAATAAATAATTATAATTATAAATAATAAAATTCAGTATAAAATTCAGTATAAAATTAACTGTTGTTCACAAGTTAGTTTTCACAAGTTAGTGTTCACAAGTTAGTTTTCACAAGTTAGTGTTCACAAGTTAGTTTTCAACTGTCTGTTTACGCTGGCAAAAGAAATATAAGAGCAAGAGACTCCCAGAGAACAGTGGTGAAAGAGAGGGTGATTGATTACAAAGTTATAAAACTGTCACAAGACTGATAAACATCGCCTCCCCTCTCCCAAGAAGTGTGGCTATCTTCCCTTTCTGGGGATTTCTGTCTTCGGCTGTGGACTGCTACGGAGTATAAATAAATTTAGCAACAGCTAAGAGTACTTCTGCTGACTCACGCGCTCCGACATTTTCTTAGACCGACATTTTCCTGGTTTGAGGAACGGAAATGAATTGTATAAGACTGACATAGACTGACATAGATTGAGAAAGGGGTCGAAAATCGCAGAGGGGGAGTGACTCAAACAGCGACATCAGCTGGTGAAAGAAAACTTTGCACTCTTTTGAAAAAGACGTTCCTCCAATAAGACTTATAAGAGCAATTACAGGGATTTTTGCAAGATCTGCAACTAGTGAAGATCCCAAAACGCTGCATCATAATCTGCTGAAAGAGACAAGGTTTCATAATTTTTTATAGACCCTATACCCCATTACTGGAACAGCATTCCTGTTACCTCTGGAAAAGTAACATCTAGAGAGAACTTACTAGCACATAACATTATTGCATTGTACATTATTAATTGAAAATACGCCCCAGCTCTTTTCTTATTATTTAAATATACTTTTCGTATTTTCTTTCCCCTCTTTATTTCTTTACAAATTATAAATTGCATTATTATTATTACTTCTTCTGCTTTATTTTTCTCTTACCCTCCCATCTTTTCTTTGTTTCTTTCCTTTGTAATTTTTTTGTGTTTTTGTTTTGTTTTGTTTCTCTGTTTGTTTCATTTTTGTTGCTTTTCTGGTTGTTTTTGTGTGGTTTTCAATTTGTGTGGTTTCGTCTTGGTTTTTTTGTTTCTGTTTTTCGTTGCTGTTTTTTTCTGTTTTTGTTTGCTTTGCCTTTCACTATCTATTGGTAGCTAATGCAGCTGATATTAGCATCAGATGTCATTAGCTTTGTTGCAAGGTGCTGATTAACTGAACTGCTAACCGGTGTAAAGATTTATATATATGATCTATTACCCTGAATGAGTAAGTGAACGCACGGATTGCAATCATTTATTATATTTATTTGATCTGATGAATTTGTGATATTGCTGTATTGATGCTTGGCTGTAACGAAGCAAATGATTCAGCAGAGGAAACACAGCCCAGAATAACTAAGGATATAGTACAAGAATACTTGGCTAGTTTAGATGTATTCAAGTCTCCAGGGCCAGATGAACTGCATCCAAGAGTATAAAAAGAACTGGCAGATGTGATCTCAGAACCACTGGCAGTCATCTTTGAGAATTCCTGGAAAACAGGCGAAGTCCCGGCAGACTGGAGGAGGGCAAATGTTGTCCCTATTTTCAAAAAGGGGAAAAGAGAGGACCCAAATAATTACCGCCCAGTCAGTCTGACATCAATACCAGGGAAGATTCTGGAGCAGATCATTAAGCAAACAGTCTGTGAGCACCTAGAAAGGAATGCTGTGATCACCAATAGTCAGCATGGATTTCTGAAAAATAAGTCATGTCAGACTAACCTGATCTCGTTTTTGACAGAATTACAAGCCTGGTAGATGAAGGGAACGCAGTGGATGTAGCCTACCTTGATTTCAGCAAGGCATTTGACAAGGTGCCTCATGATATTCTTGTAAAGAAGCTGGTAAAATGCGGTCTTGACTATGCTACCACTCAGTGGATTTGTAACTGGCTGACTGACCGAACCCAAAGGGTGCTCATCAATGGTTCCTCTTCATCCTGGAGAAGAGTGACTAGTGGGGTGCCACAGGGTTCTGTCTTGGGCCCGGTCTTATTCAACATCTTTATCAACGACTTGGATGATGGACTCAAGGGCATCCTGATCAAATTTGCAGATGACACCAAACTGGGAGGGTGGCTAACACCCCAGAGGACAGGATCACACTTCAAAACGACCTTGACAGATTAGAGAACTGGGCCAAAACAAACAAGATGAATTTTAACAGGGAGAAATGTAAAGTATTGCACTTGGGCAAAAAAATGAGAGGCACAAATACAAGATGGGGGACACCTGGCTTGAGAGCAGTACATGTGAAAAGGATCTAGGAGTCTTGGTTGACCACAAACTTGACATGAGCCAACAGTGTGACGCGGCAGCTAAAAAGCCAATGCAATTCTGGGCTGCATCAATAGGAGTATAGCATCTAGATCAAGGGAAGTAATAGTGCCACTGTATTCTGCTCTGGTCAGACCTCACCTGGAGTACTGTGTCCAGTTCTGGGCACCACAGTTCAAGAAGGACACTGACAAACTGGAATGTGTCCAGAGGAGGGCAACCAAAATGGTCAAAGGCCTGGAAACGATGCCTTATGAGGAACGGCTAAGGGAGCTGGGCATGTTTAGCCTGGAGAAGAGGAGGTTAAGGGGTGATTTGATAGCCATGTTCAAATATATAAAAGGATGTCACATAGAGGAGGGAGAAAGGTTGTTTTCTGCTGCTCCAGAGAAGTGGACACGGAGCAATGGATCCAAACTACAAGAAAGAAGATTCCACCTAAACATTAGGAAGAACTTCCTGACAGTAAGAGCTGTTTGACAGTGGAATTTGCTGCCAAGGAGTGTGGTGGAGTCTCCTTCTTTGGAGGTCTTTAAGCAGAGGCTTGACAACCATATGTCAGGAGTGCTCTGATGGTGTTTCCTGCTTGGCAGGGGGTTGGACTCGATGGCCCTTCTGGTCTCTTCCAACTCTATGATTCTATGATTCTATGAAATAAAAGGACATCTAAATAAATGGAATAAATTGAACTTGTCCTTATGGGGAAGGATATCCTTGATAAAAATGTCAATTCTACCAAAAATGCTCTTCCTTTTCCAGACGATCCCAATAATTATCGGGACAAAATGTTTTAAAGGTTGGCAAAGGGATCTTTCTAATTTTATCTGGCAAGGTAAGCCAAGAGTAAGGTTCAAAGTACTGATGGAGCCTAGAGAAAGGGGCGGGTTTGCAGTCCCAAACCTCAAGCTGTATTTTGAGGCTGCATGCATGACATGGCTGAAAGACTGGATGTTACTGACAGATACCGAAATCTTAGACCTGGAGGGCTGGGACAAAGTTTTCGGGTGGCATGGCTACCTGGGTCATGATAAAATAAAAGCACATAGAGGATTCACTAATCATTTGGTGAGAAAGGCCCTATTCGAAGTCTGGGAAAGAAATAAAACAATAGTAGCAGCCAAAACTCCCTGGTGGCTATCACCTATAGAGTCATCAGCCTTGCATAGAAGCAATATGAAAGATAGCTGGCTAACATATAGGGAACTCGTAGAAGAGATAAAAGATTGCCCAACAGTAAAGAAATTTGAAGAATTAAAAGAGAGGGGGGTGAATTGGTTAGAATATGTCCAATTAAAAACAATATTTGAGAAGGATAGTAAGCTTAAGGGGTTTGATAAAAAAAATCTTGGTATGGGAAAAAGAAATTTTATATAACAACCAACAGACTCTCTCAAAAATATATAAACTGTTACAAAATGGGAAAGTAGAAAAGGAGGAAAAACGAGACGCTATTAAAAAATGGGAACAAGATCTGGGCCACCCAATTGAATATAATGAATGGGAAAGACTATGGACAAAAAATATAAATTTTACAGCATGTTACTTAATAAGAGAGAACTATATGAAAATGTATCACAGGTGGTACCTGGCACCAGAAAGGCTTGCAAAAATGAATAAAACATATAATAATAAGTGCTGGAGATGCAAGATACAAAAAGGAACCTTCTACCATATGTGGTGGACATGCCCCGAAATTGGGAAATTTTGGAGCATGATCCACAAAGAAATAAAGAAAATATTAAGAATACCATATAGTAAAAGGCCAGAGGCATTCCTTTTAGGAATGTTAAATGACAATATCCCAAAAGACAAAACTATTTTTTTCTTATACGCAACGTCTGCAGGAAGAATCCTGGTGGCTAAGTACTGGAAAGGGAATCAGTTACCCACTAGGGGAGAGTGGCTATGTAAGCTAACTTAGAATTAGCCAAATTGACAGATATAATAAGACAAAAACCAAAAAGTGAGGTAAAAAAAGAATGGGAGTGCCTAAATGAATACCTAAAAAGTCAAGGTTCGAGGGCAGAAATCTGGCTGAGTCTGGAATAACCTTGTGAAGTGAAAGGATATGAAAGAAGGATTTATATCTAGATGTTAGGATAGAGTGAATAAAGAAAACAGGAAGACAGGAAGACACAATGAGAGATAAAGGAGGTGCTGTGGGATTGGTGGAAGTCAATGTCTTGTTGTTTTAGTGTTTATAATATTAACTTGTAAGATATGGATTTGTTTGTTTGTTTGTGTTTTTTTAGTTTTTGAATGTTGATTTCTGTGTGTTGTGTATTGTTATTTTTTGATAGCTTTCGTGTTGTGTGGAAAATACTAATAAAATTCATTTAAAAAAAGATAAGGTGAATTGGCTTCAATACTATCAAATCAATGAATTATTGAAGATCGATAAGAGAAATGGTTTTGCAACAGAAAAAAACAAATTGGAGATGGAGTTGTTAGATACTAATGTTAAAAACATGTCTAAAATGTATAACCTGTTGTTGGAGCGGCATACAAAGGATGAACAAGTTAAATCGGTCATGATTGATTGGGCACAAGATGTAGTACATAATATAATGATGGAGGATTGGGAGAGCCTATGGAAGAAAGGGGTAAAATTTACTGCATGTACGACGTTAAAGGAAAATATAATGAAAATGATGTATAGATGGTATTTAACTCCGGTTAAATTAGCTAAGATTTATCACAGTTGTGATAATATATGTTAGAAATGTAAAGAAAAGGAAGGTACCTTTTATCACATGTGGTGGACATGCTCCAAGGTGAGAGGGAAAAGATTTATAATGAATTTTAAAAAATGTTGAAATATACATTTATAAAAAAACCAGAGGCCTTTCTCCTTGGAATAATAGGTTCTGAAATGACCAAGAAAGATGTAAAGTTATTTTTGTATGCCACAACTGCTGCTCGAATTTTAATAGCCAAGAAATGGAAAACACAAGAACTACCAACTGTGGAAGAATGGCAGATGAAAATGATGGAATATATGGAGCTGGCTGACCTTACTGGAGGAATCTGCGACCAAAAAGAAGTGGAATACCAAGAAGAGTGGAAGAAATTTAAGGACTATTTGAATAAATACTGTGATATTAAAAATTAGAAATTACTTGAAAGTACCAGAATAGGCCTAGGATTAAACTAAGAGTTAATTAAATAAATAAGATTTAGAACCTAAAGGAAAGTTAATAAATTTTATTTTAATTGGAATACTGTGTTTTTAAAAAATGATACCAGAAAACTGCTGCATTTTAATTACAAGGAAATTCAGACGGGAGGGCTCAGAGGAAGCCCAAAATATGTTTATGAGGTTAGAAGTTTAAATAATTAATTAATTTGTGTTGTTTAGGTGTTTAGGTTGTTAGGTATTTAGGTACCTTGTTTTTATTTTCTTTTTTGTTTGTATTTGTGATCTTGTCTTCTTTCTTTTGTTTTTTCTCTGTTTTTCTTTTGTTCTGATATGTGTTATATCTGTAAGAAACTTAATATTTTATTTTTTTTTAAAAGCAACAACTAAGAAGAAACTCAGGCCTTGAACAGGAAATGTATTTTCAGGAGCTTATCATAAGTTTGAAGGGGGACATTGGAGGAATGAGAGGAGATTTGGAGGAAAAAATCAATACAATTGATGGGAAATTAGAAAACACAATGGGAAAAAATGAAAAAGAAAATGAATAAATAAAGAAAAAATTAACAGAAGTCTTAGAAGGAATGAAGGAGACAGATAAGAATGTACAAGAAATAAAGAATAAAAATCAACAAATGGAAGAGATGGTGAAGAAAATTAGCAAAGAACAAAGGGAACAAAGAAAATAAATGGACAGATTGAAAAAGGAGATGGAGGAACAAAAAGCAATCCTGGAAGCTACTGGGGATCAGCTGGCAATGCTACAGATGCAGATTAAAGAGAAGACCTTGAGATTCAGAAATGTTCCAGAAGAGGAGAGGGAGAATATCTGGAAGAAGATGATCAAAATTTTAGCAAAGTGGCTACATTTACAGGAAAAAGACATAATAGAACAGACGGAGAAAATCTTCAGAGTGAACTCAAGAAAAGCAAAAATGAACAAATGGCCAGCGGATTGCATCATTGTATTCACATCGAACTGGATGAAAGATAAGATCCTCCAAACAAAGAGTAAGAACAAGTTAACCATAGATGGAAAAGAAATAATAATTCTGATAGAAGTCCTACCCAGGTTAATAAAAAAGAGACAGCAATTCCAATTTCTAACAAAAGCATTAAAGGCCAAATCAATAGCCTTCAGATGGGAATACCCAGTGGGGATTTCCTTCAATTTCAAAGGAAAAAGAAGACGAATTGAGACTTTTGAGGAAGCTGATATGTTTTGGAGCAAGTACCAAGGAGAATTAGGAGGAGGGAAAAGTGAAGTAAGAAATGAGGAAGGGAGAGCTATCGGATGAGGCGGAAGAAGAAGAAAGCTCAGCCAAGGGTGGAAGGATAAAGAACTATGCCAGTGGTAATAATCAGACCAATAACTACTACAAAACTCTTCTCCTTTACCACCACAGATAACTTAAACTCTTTCTACTAACTTTACAATTTTTAATTAATAAAGAATGAAATTTAAATTGTTATCTTGGAACGTAAATGGTTTAAACAATAGGAGGAAAAGGCAGAAAATAGAACGTATCTTAGAGAGGCAGAAGTGGGACCTTGCTTGTTTACATGAAACCCACATTAATATTAAGCATAAAAGATTATTGGTAAAACTAAAGTTAGGGGAAGAATTCATCGCATCTGATGTAAGAAAAAAGAGGGGGGTTGTAATGTATGTTAAAAGCAAATACAAACCAGAATTGCTATATGAAGATAAAAAGGGGAGGATTGTAAGTCAAAATATCACTAGAAGGGGAAACAATTGTGGTAGCGGGAATCTATGGATCAAACAAAAGAAAATCAGAATTCTATGTTAAAGTAAGATCATTATTAATGGAATATATAGATATGAGAATTATTGTGTTAGGCGATTTAAATGGAGTAATGGAACCAGAATTGGACAGATCGCAGAAGAGAGGGGGAAATGAAGGGAAGCTACCAAAATGTTTTGTGGAAATGGTAAGGATTTTTTATTTAGTGGATATATGGAGATATAAATATCCTGTCGAAAAGGAGTTCACTTATTTCTCAGAACCAAAAAATTCATAGTGCCGAATCGACAGTATATGGATTACTAAGGATATGACAATTAAAGCAGAGAATGCCTAAATATTACCAAAAACACTTACAGATCATAATCTAGTATCATTAACTCTTAAAATAAAAGAGAAGAAAGGGGGGGGGGGAATGTGGAGAATGAACGTTTTCCTATTAAAAAACCAAAGAGTAATACAAGGAGCCAGAAAGTTGATGAAGGAATATTTTGAAAACAATTGGAGGAAAGGGACAGATGTAAAAACAGTGTGGGATGCTGGGAAGGCAGTTGTTAGGGGATATTTCATACCACAAAACTCAATAGCATATAAGAATAAAGAAAAAAAGAAAAGGGAGCTTTTAGAAGAAATTAAAAGGAAGGAAAAATTGGCCTATGCAAGCAAAAATAAAGAGAGATTAAATCAAATTAAATTACTGAGAGTAGAATATAATAAAATTATAGAAAAGGAGGTAGAAAAACAAATTAAATTCTGGAAATATAAAAATTTTGAATGGGCAAATAAACCAGGCAAGATCCTTGCCTGGCAATTAAAGAAACAAACAAATGAAAAATTAATAAATAAGATAAAAGCAGAAGAGAGGACAATAAGGGATATTACATAAATTTAAAAAGAAAGAAAGATGAAGCGTCAATAGAAGAAATAGAGGAATAAATAAAGAAAAATAAATTAATAGAGATGGCAGAAGACCATAAATTATTAAATGAACCAATATCAACTGGAGAAATCAATTAATTCAAAAATTACAAATAGGGAAATCCCCAGGCCTGGACGGCTTACCAGCAGAATACTATAAAGAAATGTTAAATGAATTAATCGACCTACTAAAAGAAGTAATAGAGGAAGCGGTAGAGAAGGGGAATATTACAGACTCTTGGACCCAAGCATATAAAACGCTCCTGCCAAAACAAGGTATGGACTTGGAATCTGTCTCAAATTCAGATTATAAAATTTATGCAGGATTATTGGCTAATAGGTTGAGAAAAATAATAGGAAAAATAGTACATAAAAACCAGGCTGGATTTGTGGAAGGAAGCCAAATAAAGGATATTAGAAATATAATAGACATAATGGAATATTTACAAGTAAGAAGAGATAAACAAGCAGCCCTGATTTCAATTGATGCAGAGAAGGCTTTCAATAAAATCTCATGGGAATTTATGAAAAAACTATTAAAAGAAATGTGTCTAGGCGAAAAATTCTAAAAAGGTATAAATGCAATATATATGCAAAATATATATATATATAACCAACAGAAGGCAAAAATTATTATTAATGGAGTTTGGAGAAGAAATTAATATTTAAAGGTACAAGACAACGATGCCCCCTATCCCCAATGTTGTTTATAATAGTATTAGAGGTTCTATTAAAGAAAATAAGACAGGACAACCAAATAAGAGGAATAGCAGTTGGTGAAAAAAATCTAAGTTAAGAGCCTTTGCAGATGATGTTATGATTACAACAGAAAATCCTCTACAATGCACACCTAGAATATTGGAATGTATAAACAAATATGGCAGATTAGCAGGATTCAAATTAAATTACGGGAAAACCAAAATATTAGTGAAAAATATGGAAGAAAAAGATAAAGTGAAATTACAAGAAATTACAGGATTGGAACGTAAAAAGAAAATAAGGTATCTTGGAATAAATTTAACAACAAACACTATGGATTTAAGTAATGAGAACTATGGGAAAACATGGAGTGAAATAAAAAAATATTTGCAAGTATGGGGGAAATTAAATCTTTCCTTACTAGGGAAAATATCGGTAACAAAGATGAACATACTACCAAGGATGATGTTTTATTTCAAAGTATCCCAGTACTAGGAGGAGAGAAATGTTTTAATAATTGGAACAGAGATTTGGCCAAATTCGTGTGGTCAGTCTGTGGGATTGAGTGTGGGTATGTAGGAATATTTTTAAGGATTGTGTGAAATGTATGTTTGTATATTCGTAACGTATGTATTAATGCTGAATTATTTTAATAATAAAAATTAATTTAAAAAAAGAAAGAAAATGATGTACTAGTTGTATTTGACTCCTACTAAGTTGGCAAAAATGTACAGTATAGGACAAGTACCTTCTGGAAATGTAAAGAAAAAGAAGGTACCTTTTATCACATGGTGGACATGTAAGGTAATAAAAGCACTCTGGGAAATGATATATAATGAATTGGGGGAAAAATCTTTAAAATAACTTTTATTAAAAAAACACCAGAAGCTTTTTTATTCGGAATTGTAGGTGCCAATATTCCAAAGGAGAAGGAAAGCCTTGGAATGTATGTGAGGACAGCCACGGGGATGTTACTGGCAGAGGGAAAGAAGAGCAAGCTCCTCCCAGAGGCGGCGGGAAAGAGAGGCGCGGGATGCGGCGGAAATGGCAAAACTGACGGAAAGGTCAGGCAAGAAGACCCGAACTTCCAGAAGGGGTGGGGGAAATTTATAATATATCTGGGAGATCCCTGTAAACAGATGGAAATTTTAGAAGGATTACAGTAACACTTGTAATGTGGCAGATTTTACACGGCGGCCGCCAGGCTCATTCTCGCTAGTCAGTGGCAAGGGGAGACCACGCCCCCAGAGGCTCGCTCCCGACGGGGCTGGGCGGCAACTCGGAAGCCGCGCGCGCGAGGGCGCGCATCTGGGCGGAGCCACCGGCCAAGCTCTCCGGCGCCGCGGCCTCGCCCCGCCCCCTTGTCCGCGCCCTTCCTCCCGCCGCAGCTCCAGGACCCTCCGCCAGGGGGGCGCCCGCGGAGGCCCGCGCAGCGAGAGGCGGGGAGGCGCGCCTGCGGGGCGAGCGCGGAGGGGCGGGGCCTGGCCTGCCTGGCGCGCCTTAAAGGGGCCGCTGCGGCCACGCACTTGTTGCCCATGTCTCTGCCGGTGGTGCTGCCGGGCTCGTGCTGCCCGCTGGCCCGGCTCTCGGCGGCGCCCGAGGCGCCCAGACCCGCCGCCCCGCCGCCCGCCCGGCCGCCCTGGTCCCGCTCCGGGTGGCCTGGGCCGCGCTCGGCCGCGCTCTCCCCCGGCGGGGCCTGTCGCTGGGCGGGGAGGCCGCCGCCGCCGTCTCGGCCGGGGCTGCTGCCGGCGCGCCCTCTGCTGTCTCTGGGGCTGTTGCAGCTGATCCTGGGCGGCTGCCTGGTGGCGCTCAGCTTCGGGGCGCTGTCCCTCAGCAGCTCCCCGCAAGTGAAGAACTCCTGCCCCTTCTGGGCCGGCTCCTCGGTAAGTGCCCCGCCCCGGGCCGGGCAAAGGCCTGCTCTTGACAGGCCCCTCCGAGGCGAGCTTCCTTTGCTGACCCCGATTGAGCGTTCGCCCTCCGATGGCAGGAGCGCCCGGCCCTGAGCGAGAGGCAGCTCGGGGGGTCGGGCGCCTCTATAAGAACTCCCGATTACTGTTGATGTCAAATCTGCAAGATTCGGTTGCGCCTATTTACCTATGCATGTATTAATATGATACATTCCATGAACCTTCCTCGTGTGGAGAACAGTTGATTTGTTTTGTAAATATCACTTGATAAATATCATTTATCATATGACATTTGATCCCATGCACAAGGCACAATAATAATTCTTATTGGTTTCCATGGAATTTGTTTTTCTATGTGCTGCATCTCCCTGCCTCTGAGGGTTGCAAATTATGTTAACTTTCAGAACTGAAGATACAGTACTCCCATATGTAATGTATCTTCAGTGCTCAAGGAAAATAATGGGAACCTCATTATTACCTCCAAAGTTTTCCGGGTTATGCATCTCTGTTTATTTAAATAATAACTTAAATATTATTTTAAAAATATAACCATTTTTATACCTGCTGATTATGAAGTGCCTGGTTATGTGCTGGCTATGCACATGCACACTCCGGCCCACAGGCGTCTGCGGGACCGTGAATTGGCCCAAGCCACAAAAACTTTGCCAACCCCTGGGGTAGAGCATGTGCTCAGCATGCAGAGAGTCCCAGGTTTAAAACGCAGCATCTCCTTGTGGGGATGAAAAACCCTGCCTGATACCCCGGAGAAGCACTTCCAGACAGTGTGGACAATACGCACCAATGGTCTGACCCACTGCAAGGCATTTTAAGTTTTGGGCATCTTGTATTATCTGAACACAAGAGCAACTGTTCTTCATGCTATTAAAAAACACCAAAGGCACGCAATTAATAAGATAAAATTGGGGCACCTAGCCCCTTTTTTTTGTAACCAGAGAGCTAAAACTTTGCAGAGCATCATTTCAGGCTCTAGTCATAAATTTGGGTTAATGCAAGGCATTTTTAGATATATTTTTATTTTTGTGGAGTGCTACTAAACACAAGTGCCTGTTCTTGCAGAGATAGCAGAGTTGGGGAAGGTGGGGGGAGTGTGGAGTCAGTATCCTATCAAAGACCTTCAAAGCAGGTGATTGATGCTATGTGAATGCAGCAGTCTATAGCTGCTTATATGCAGGTGGGTCAGGGCCCATGTGGATAGTTGCTCATTGATAAGGGTTAGTCTCAGGAGGTGAGGCTTTGGCTTGGAACAGAGGGGAAAGTTCTACTTTCTTGTCCACCTCTAGACCAGAAGAGGTAGAAAATGAAAGTTTTTTGGAAAATTTTGATATTATGTCTCATCCTACAGCTCAGGACCAGGGTAGTCTCTTATACACCCAGGAGATGACTGCGGTCTGTAGGAAAGTTTCACTTGCAGATTCCAAGGTTCTGAGGAGCAGGGCTGTTATTATCATCATTATTATCATTATCATGATTAGCGTGGCTGCCCCTGTTCTATGGAACAACATTCCTGTTGAGATATGTCAGACACTCAGTTTCTGGTAACAAGTGAGGAAGGTCACAACCAAAGAAGATATCTTATGCACATAACCTTGGTCAAATGAGAAACATGTACAAATGGGTGCTGTGTATTTAGTGTGGTGTGTCACCTCATGCAGCAGTTGGTTTTAAGAACAGGCCATGTGGTCAAATATGTTGATGAAGGAAGAGCAGAAGGATAAGCAGGGACCTGGGCTGCCCTTGCCCAGATGATGGACATCATTGCTGATGTTATGGCTCCAGGCCTGCAATTGTCCCATCTGTATAGTTATTTTATTCTGTTCTGATGTTAAACCACCAGTTGTGGGGGTCTGTGATTTGAATACTGATGCTTTGTTCCATATTAGATGTTCGTTTTGTAGCTGATGGCTTTTAGTATCTTTTTTGATAACCAAGAAGAAAAAAGTGAAAATTTAAAAGTTCTCAAATTTATGCAAGTTTATGATTCATATATGAAAGTAGAGATCTCAAGTTCTGCTTATATCAGCTAGAAAGCAAGCATTAGTTTGTCACCACTTCCTTGTCTCATTGGTTTTAAAAATTGATTTCAAGAGAATGTAAGTGCAACTAACTTAATTTTAATATGGATAACAAAATTGATTTGAAAATCAGTACAGCACAGATGGCAGAATTTATCATTGAACCACACTCCTCTTTTCCCCTTTTCTTTCTATTGTAACACTAATGTCTCAACAAATGAAACTGATCTGTAGAAAATGTAACTTGAAAAAAGAGACATTGGACATACTTTTGTAAACCAAGAAATATTTAATAAAAGATTTGTTTTTATTAAAAAAACCTACACTGATAGAGAAGTTTTCTCTTTGTGAGCATGAGACTTATAGAAAATTGTGCAAAATCAATAACAAACAAAAATGACTAATAATGTAAAGTGTAAAAAGCATAAAGAACATAAAGGCCTGTTAAAGATAAAATTCTCTAAAAGTTTGCCAGTCCACTACCTGTTTTTGCTTCCTGGCTAAAAACATTCCGTGATAGAATTAGAGGAACATCCTTTTAAGTTTAATTTTAAATTTAAATTTTAAATGTGTGTTTTAATCTCTGCTTGGAAATGGATCTTTTTTTTTTTTTTTTAACATGTATATGCTTACTCAACTGAAGAGCAAAAGAAATAGTGGAACAAATTTTGGTTCTATTAGCAAAGCAGGAAAATTGGCATCCTACGTTCAGCACTGAAACTGCTTTTCTGTATTTTACTAGTACAGTCATACCTCGGGTTGAATGCGCTTTGGGATGAGCGCATTCGAGTTGCGCTCCGCGGCAACTCGGAAGTAATGGAGCATGTTACTTCCGGGTTTCACCGCTTGAGCATGCGCAGACACTCAAAATGACGTGCGCAGAAGCGCCGAAACGCCGAAATGTGACCCGTGCAGATGTGCGGACACGGGTTACGTTTGCTTCTAGATGTGAACAGGGCTCCGGAACGGATCCCGTTCGCATCTAGAGGTACCACTGTAGAGCTTAAAATGTGTGGAATACCCTTGAAATTAAAGGGAACAGTGGGAGTCCTCTACTGTCCCCATTCCTCTTCAATAGACAATCCAGGTGTGAAGAGTTGTGTGTTTGGGAGGGTGCACACGTGTGTTACAGGCAGCACACTGAATTGATCATATATGTATTCCTATTGTGACCCAGTCAGTGGGTCCTGAGCTCCTACCTTTTTAATCAGAATTTTGTCAGTGCTCTTTTAGTGCTTCACAGTTAGAGCTATTCAACATGCATGGGTGATGAACTCTCATTTCTTAATAACTATTTGTTTTTTATTGTTCCAGGTAATTTTATCGGGAATTATAGGATTAACCACATGGAAGAGACCAATGATACTTCTGGTATGTGTTGGTTAATATGTTCTGGTTTGGTTATAGCACAATAATTTATTGTCCAACTAATGCTGTTCTATAGAATTTGTGTGGGTGAAATATTGAATCCACTTACTTGTGAGTAGTGTCAAGAAGATTATTTGCAATAAGAACAAAACCCTCTTGAATTAATTAGAAAAGAAAGATCTCTACACAGTAGATCAATGCTTTCTGCACTAAGAAAGGCAAACTGACAGAAAACCCTATCTGTACCCAATGTTATACATTATATTAGTCTGGTAATTTTTAGATAAGCATGAGATATACTTGAAAAAAAAATTACCGTATTTTTCGCTCTATAGGACGCACTTTTTCCCCTCCAAAAATGAAGGGGAAATGTGTGTGCGTCCTATGGAGCGAATGCAGGCTCCCTGACTTCAGCGATAGCAACGCAAAGCCTCCGAAGCCTGTGCTCCAGAGGCTTCGCGTTGCTTCCGCTGAAGCCAGGAGAGTCTGCTCTTTGAGGCTGGCGGTGGGGGAAAGCAGCACTTCTCCCCACCACCAGCCCCACAGGTTCAGGGGGGCAGCGGGAAGGTGCATGACGCCTTAGCGCTGCTCCCCGACCCCGCTTTGAGGCTGGCGGTGGGGGAAAGCAGCGCTTCCCCCCCACTGCCAGCCCCACATGCTCGGTTGAAAAGCCCGCAGGAGCCACGCGCTCTTTAAAGGGTACGCGGCTCCTGTGGGTTTTTGCGGGAGATGTGGGAATTCCCCCACCTCCCGCAAAAGCGTGCAAAAGCCGCGCCCACAGGAGGGAGAAGGGACTAACTCGGCCAGTCAGTCCCTTCTCCCTCCTTGGGGAAAAGCCCCCAAGAGCGGCGCGCTCTTTAAAGGGTGCGCGGCTTTTGCGGGCTTTTCTACGAGGTGGGGGAATTCCCCCACCTCCCGCAATAGCAGGGAGAAGGTCTGGGAGAAGTGCACAGGCTGCGTACAGACTGCCCGCTGCTCTTAGAGCTGGGGGGGGGGAATCATATTTCCCCCCTTGATTTCCTCATCTGAAAACTAGGTGCGCCCTATGGTCAGGTGCGCCCTATAGCCCGAAAAATACAGTATCTATTTTTCAGGGTTTAAGCCCTGCAAGAAGTTTGTGTTTCATTTAATATTGACTAGTATGTTTTCTTATTATATCATTCTTTTTCTACTGTATAATGCCATAGTTTTCTGTGTTTTCCGTATATAAGATGTCCCCATGTATAAGATGACCCCTATTTTTTTGAACCCAAAATTAAGAAATCAATATTTTTAAACATCAAACAGAACAACTTTGATTTTTTATTAAATATTCAAAGCACCGCACCGGAGATCGCCCAGTGCACATTTAAATGCCAACTAAATGGAATTCCCCCCCCCATCATTAATTGGTACCTATCTGGATCAGAGGGCAGGCATAGCTGGGACTAATGTCTTTATTTCCTCCATCCAGAGATCTTTGTGATAATAAAGGAGGCATAATCTGTTTAATAGACTGTGTAATTTTTCCTATTGAGAGTATCAGCAAAATAAATGTGGGTTATGTCAAGAATATATTCTATACTATATTTGGTAGTAGAGGAGAAAGTAAAGTGTAATTTGAATCTGTCAAATTTGCCTGTGCCTTTGCTGGAATATGCTGTTTTCAGTTCAGTGTTTGTACTATAAAGCGGCTTCATCAGCTTTCTTTCCCATATTGCAATGTGATCATTAGATACTTCTTCAGATTTCATAATATTGAATCCAGTAAAAAATAATGTAACAGATTGAAATATCAAATTCTGCAAGCAGTATTTAGAAGTTTCTATACCAGCCTGTCAAGTTTATGATTGCTCATAAGTGATAGAATATAACTGAATATGTAGGAATATGTTTCAAATGGCAAATCTTTTGGTGGACAATGAATTTAGCCCAGTATTTTAAAACCTAAGGCATAGATGGCAAAGGTAACATGCAGGACAGTGTGTTTTGATAGTGTTTACGTAGAATGCCAAGCAGCTTAAAATTCTTGTATTTTTTGTTTTGTTTTAGGTTAACCTGTTTGTTTTGCTTTCTGTCATTTGTGTTCTCTTGAACCTGGCTGGATTCATCCTGGGATGCCAAGGTGCTCAATTTGTATCCAGTCTCCCTAGATGTGATCTGGTGAGGAGACAATTTACCTGATTGTGTCTGAAGCATGACTGTAGATGACTGTGCTTGTCATATAAAGCTTTACCGTGCCAGGAGACTTAGAAGTGCAAGCATTGTATATACAAACTATAAAGCAAACTATACCTCCCTCCAATACTAACTAAGGCTGCAGTCCTAAGTTTGTTTTCTCAGAAGTAAGAAGTCAATTTAGTTAACAGGGCTTACTGCCAGGTAAGTGGAGTTCGGATTGCAGTCTAATTATATTCTATTATGTTTTGCTCTCTCAACAAAAAAGTGGCTTAGAAAAGGAATAACAGTAACCATATTATCAAATAATAAACGGATTAGTTCGTGGATCTATAGATTATCTGTGTTCAGATACCAAGTCTGTACTCCTATTTCCATAAGCCTTTGGCTTACTTGCTTAGTCCTTATCTCCCTGAGCATAAAAATACTGTACGCATTATACAAAACATGGAGAATACTAAAAAGAACATACCCATGTGGTGTTCAGCCCCTAAATTATTTGGATCACAGTAGATGTCCATTACATTGGTAATGAGGATGTTGATACAAAGCTTTCTCAAAGAGGAGAAGGGATGATCTGAAGGAACCACATTTGGTGTCCATTTGGGGCCAAATAATCCTAATTTATAGTCTAATGGAAGAATGCCTCAGCATGCTTTATATTTTGCTAAAGCTGGCAAAGAACACTGGCAAGCTATGATTTGAGCAGTTGCTTTGAACAAGGATTGGCTTTCAGTTCTGGTTTGAATATAATGGCAGTTTAGGATTATATCAGACCAGGAAGCACTAAGTCCTTCATGAGAGGAGAAGAAGGGGGAGCTCTTCTATTGTTTATTTGGACTTAAGAGTTATAGGAGGGTGGTGCTTCTTAACCACATGCCCAGCTCAGGGGCTGATGGCATACCCTCCGACATTCTCTGATGAAAATAGGGACATCCTAAGGGAAAGTGGGACATTCTGGGACCACATCAGAAACTGGGATGGCTTCTGTAAATCTGGGAATGTCCCTGAAAAATAGGGACACTTGGAGGGTCTGTGATGGACCCCAGCACCTTTGGTCGGTGAGAGCAGTGGGGATACCCTGGATGTGGTTCACATCCTAAGTGGACTCCTTAACATTAGTCTACCCCATCTGACTCTGTGCCTACAGCAAACCTGCGTTCATCTGTAAACAATAAAGTTGTGGCCAAATTTGAACCCAGTGTATGTTTTCTGTTTTATTTGCTGTTCATACACCCTTCTATACGGGACGCAGGTGGCGCTGTCGGTCCCAGCTCCTGCCAACCTAGCAGTTCGTAAGCACGTCAAAGTGCAAATAGATAAATAGGTACTGCTCCAGCGGGAAGGTATACGGTGTTTCCGTGCGCTGCTCTGGTTCGCCAGAAGCGGCTTAGTCATGCTGGCCACATGACCCGGAAGCTGTACGCGGGCTCCCTCGGCCAGTAAAGCGAGATGAGCGCTGCAACCCCAGAGTCGGCCACGACTGGACCTAATGGTCAGGGGTCCTTTTACACCCTACAGACCTTACACCCTTCTATGGCCTCAGTGCAACTGGGCCCACAATTTTTCCTCAAGCAATACATTTATTAGAGTCGGAAATTGCTTTATGGATTTTAATTCTTCTGTACTTCGCTTTTGCATTCAGTGCAGTATTTTTCAATTTACTGATTCAAATTTCTCTTTACTTTTCACAATATTGAAGGCTGATGTGGGTGAAAGTAAGTTTTGTTTCTGTTGTGAAGAATTTCTGCCAGAAAAATGCACAGAGAAAGATAATGCGCTGAAGCTGTATCCTGTCCAACCATGTGGTGCAGTTCACCTTCTACTCAAGGTAAGTTGCCATGTGACATGGACTGCATTGGCAAAGAATAAACTGCAAGAAAAATGCACTTTGGCATCATGTTGTAATTTCATAAAGAACCCATTGCTCAGAATGAAAGAGGAGGTTAACTTATAAATTCTTGGCCTATAGAATGAGATAGCCCTTGAAAGTCGTAAGACACCTTACTTCTAGGGTATAGACGCAATCTACAAAGCAGTGGTTGCCGTTATGATATAAGCAGCTTGTCCGTAGTAGTTATGGATTTTGGAATAGTTATGGATCTTTTTTAACACAGAGTGATCCCATTATCCTAGTACGGGCATCCCCCCCCCCCATTTATGCATGTTCAATTCCTGTGCAGCTGTGCATATGTGTGGTCCCAGAATCCTGGAAGTTGGGGCAGAGACGCAAAGAGCTCCTCAGCAAAGACCCGCTCTGTGGCTCGCAAGGAGACGCTCCCTGGAGCCTGGAGTGGATATCCTCTTGGAGCTCTGGGAGGGTCTCTGGGCAAGCCAGAGGCGTGCTGAGGCTGCTCAACTTGACACAAGGAAAAGTTTTCCTGTGCGTCAGGTGAGCGGCCTCAGCGAGCTTCTGGCTTCCTTAAATTTCCTGAAAAGAAATGCAGGCGACTTCCAATTTTACACAATTTCAGTGAGGTGTGCAACAGCTTGGAACATAACCCCCGTGTAAATGGAGAGACACCTGTGTTTCAGGGAGTGGAATGTAGCAAAACCTGATGCAATTAAAATGTTTCCATTTTGTTTCGGTGTGCTTTATAGAAAAAGTCCACATTTTAAAATGATGCCTATTGTCATCTGTTCTGTTGGCTCACCTTTGCATACCTTTCTTATTTTTGTAGTCTTTTTTTCCTTTTTGTCGCACTACAGAAAGTTCTTTTTGCTCTCTGTGCTCTGAATGCCTTGACCACTACTGTATGCCTAGTAGCTGCTGCCCTACGTTATCTGCAGATATTTGCCACAAGAAGATCCTGCATAGTAAGTGAGTGCAGGGCACAGTTTTGTTTTCTAAAAGTGCAGAAGGAAGTCAGTCTTCCATGAATTCTGCTTGTGGTTTCAGTGCAGAAGTCTTTACAAAACAAACATTTATCTTGTCAGGAAGAGCCCCATGTTTATGTGGAAGAAGCTGAAGAACAAGGCCACGCTTCTGATCCAGAAGATTTTGTGCCACCAGTACCACCTCCCTCATATTTTGCTACATTTTACTCTTGTACGCCTAGGATCAATCGCAGGTAAAATGCTGAAACTCAACTTTCCCTGGATATTCTGGTTCACCAATAACTGATTTAAGCAACAGCCTTATTGCCACTTTCATTGAAATCATGATTTACATGTAACTTCTCGCACAAGTGGTACCTGCAGTAATTTTTGACTGACTTCAGATTATAATTTTGTGGTTTTCATGTAAAAACTTCTTGACACTTGTTTCTGGATAAAAGATATATAGTGATTTGTTGAAATTTGATATTATAAAGCTGCTGCCTTGAGCCACCATAAAAACTGATTGCTAGACTCCCAACTGCTTCAGCACAGAAACTCTCTGAAATAGCTTAGAGAAGGGTGAATTGATTTTAAATTTTAAAAATTCCATTTATACCGTAGATATTTCTAAATAAGGTGCATATGAATTGATTTTTCTAAGCATTAAAGCCTATTGATCAGGCTGGTGCTGCCCTTTGGCAGAGTGAGGCAGCTGCCTCAGGCAGGAGAAGCTAGGCGGAGCTTGGCGCGCTGCCTGCCTTGCACCTCTTCAGCTAGCTTGCTGTCCTCAGGTGTGGTGAAGGATGCTATTTCATTGCCCGTGTTGAAATAAGAGTCAGCAGCCAGGTTGGTTTCTGTATGTGGAATAAAAATGCTGGTCTAAACTATTTGCCTCCAACCTATTTCAAAATAAAAAAGGAATATAAAGCTTTATTGGCTGTGGAAAAAAGGCAGTTTGAACACAACTCTTGGTCTCTGGTATTGAATGCTTCGCTAAATAATGAAGTTAAACTTTTTTGCCAACTGGTTTCTGGTATGCTCAGAAGTAACTCCCCAGCCCCTAACTGCGCTATTCCAGCCCATGTACGGGAGAACCATTATAAAACAATATTTACTGACAATATGAATTTCCCTCCCACCATATGTGACGATTATTTTGCAGAGTTGACAAAGCTCTCACTTTGGAGGCCAGTTACAGCAAAAGAAATCTGTGTGTTAAAGGACAATCTAATGTGCCCTCAAATTATAGGCCAGTTAGTCTCCTTTCTATAATGGGAAAGCTTTATGCTTGTTTCCTCTCTGACAACTTTTTAAAATTATAATATATAATGTCTGAGGCCCAGGCTCCCTTTCATGATAACCTTTCAACATCAGATCACTGCCTCGTGATGTTCCACTTAGCAGAGAAATACACAAGACCTCTGCAGTGAAAACTATCTGTTGCCTTTATGGATTTGAAATCTGCTTTCGACTCTGTTTCCAGATTGAAACTATGGACCAAATTACATCTGTTACTGCAGGATAAATGACTCTTCTTTTCTTTTTTTTAAATGATATTTATTGGGAAAAAAATTTTTTTTTTAAAGTTACAAAAGAAAAACAAAGTAGAAAAAGAGATACAAATTCAAAATAAGAAACAAAAAAAAAAAAACAGAAATACACCACACACATTTAAAAACATTTAAAAACAAATCCATTATTCTCAACTCCTCAACTGTCATTATCCTCTTTCCTTGACCTCCTCCTCCTCCCCTTCCTTGTATCCTATTTGTTAATTGTCACAGCAAATCCTTTCCATATTTCATAATATTCTGTCATTACATTACCTTAAACTATTTTAATCTTATCTTACTGTAAAAAAACCTTGAGACTTAAAACTTAAATCTTATTTTTACCAACTTCTCATAACCATAATATTTTTGCATAATTTTTTAAACATTTTTACTAAAGCCAAGTAATTTCATTCCAACATTTTTCTAACATTCATCAATTTTATAAAACAGTCCTAGTAGTGAAAAAGAGAAATAAAAACAAATCCAATCTTCATCCAGTGTCCCTTCCTCCTGGTCCCGGGTTTTGTCAGTCCTTATTATCCCATCGATCTGGCGCATTAACCTGGTAATCTTATATCCGAGGCCCTTAAGTCCCTTCCATGTCCCTTCCGCGGCTCTTCTTCATATTTATAGCTGTATTTTCCTTTGTCTCCTGCTCCTTTCACTCGTGGGAACTCCAACTTAGCAATATTTTTGACCCTTCTCGACAGATCAGCCCCTTTTCCATAATCGACACTAAATTCCATGTGGTATTTAAAAACATGTTTCAGAATCCCTCCAAAATTAAGAGCCCCCACAATCCCAAACATCTCACGGCCCATTGCCAGACTTGAAAAGTCCAAACATCCCTGCATAGGAGGGTCTATCCAACCCCCCATTTCCAAACCAAACCAAACTTTTTCTTTCCAAGTCTGGCTTTTCCAAGTTCATTTGTCAAATCCGAAAGCTCATATTCCTGTAGGGCCTGTTTTGTCAGGACACACTCCTGATTTAATTCCTGGGTGGGCTCCACATATTTTCCCACTGCCTGTTCAAAATTTCCCACTGCCTGTTCAAAATTTCTAATCGAATCAGCCATCAAATTCATCTTCTCACGTAACTGTTCCAGTAGGGCATTTGTTTTATAGAAAGCACACAACAGAGCTTCTGAATACATTGTCCTGCAAGGTCAGATGTCTGTTCCCACGATTGTAATCTGTAACAGCTGCCAGCTCCCAGGAGTTGGTTACAGTTTCACAGTCTCCCTCTAGGGGGAAAACTTCTGTTTAATCTTTCTTTTAAAAACAAGTCTAGCAACAGAGTTTCCTTTTTTCAGATATTTTGTCAATATTTGTTCCTTTAAGGTGCAAAAGGAAACAATGGAATCACTATGTTCCTCTTCTTTTAGCTATCTGTCAAAAGCCCTTATTTCTGGTCAATGAGCTTCAAACGTCAGTCCTGACACCCCGCTCCAGGATCAGGACGGTGGAAAGTTACTTTACTTTAAACTCACTTCTGCAGGTTTAAACAGTCCAGAAAAGATCCCCCTTCTACTCCTGCTGCTGAAGGGGGGTTCAACAATTTTAAAGCCAATCCTTTAGAGGCGATTTTCTGAGCTCTAGTTTACATTGTCTTTGCTTTATTCTGTCTACAAAGAAACGGAAGGCTGACTTCCTGTTTAGACCTTCCCGTTTCAGTACCAAATTGAAGTAAAATTTTAAAGTCCAATTGCTTTCTGCTCGCAAGTCCTTATTTAAAGTCCAATTGTTCAAAGTTTAAGTACTCACGGGTGCTTATTTTAGAAGCCAATTTGTCCCAGGAAAAAGGCAGCGCTCTCCGACAACAGCTATGCGGCTTCGCTCCACGGAAGAAGCAGTTGACTCTCAGCACCGCGCCACTTCCCCCTCTTCGCTTCGGAGCCCATTAGTGGGTTCCTTTGCGGGTTGGGGGGGCGCTAAGGGTGCCCGCCGAGTCCCATGGTCACAGGCTTCATCCGCCTGTGATTTTTAAAAGGGTCCCCGCTTCGCCGTAGCGGAAAAGACCCGTTTCGCGGGGAGCTAGTCCCTCCAATTCAGAGGGAGTCCGCCATTGCCGATGGCGCCACCCCAGAAGTCCGGATAAATGACTCTTCCTATTAAAGCTCTGTACAGTGAAATCAAATTGCAGGTTAGATGTGGATTGCAGGGCCAACTTTTGGACTGGATTGAGTTGGCTAGGGGAGTGAGACAGGGCTGTATTTTGGCCCCTGCATTGTTTAGCCTTGTACTAAATGATTTAGAGCAAAGTCTAATGGACCCAGATGGTCATCTCCCAAAAATAGGAACCAGAAAGACCCCTCTTTTGCTAAATGCAGGCGATGCATCCATCCTCTCTCGTTTCAGACCTGGCTTGAAATACCAACTAAGAAAGTTCTCAGATTACTGTTCTGTAAACAGGTTATCCATCAACTCTGAGAATTCCAAAATTTTGGTCCTCGAGAAAAGATATGCCCCTTGTAAATGGGTACTAGATAGCCATAACCTAGAGCAGACTAAATGCTTCCGGTACCTAGGGCTGTTGTTTCACCACACAAAGTCCTGGAATTGCCACTGGCAGACTATCTGTCAGAAGGTGGAGATGAGAAAATTTGCTATACTCTGTTTCTTTTTCACAAAGGGAGGTCACTATGTTCCATCAGCGATAAGGCTGTGCAATTGGTGCTGTGCAATGCCAGGTCCATAGGCAACAAAACCGCCACCGTGCGTGACTTTTTGTCTCGCAGGGGATTGACCTGGCTTGCATGACGGAGACCTGGGTACGGGAAGACAAAGTAGTCTTCCCTACATGAGATAACACCCACAGGTTTCTCTGTCCTCCATCAATCGCGGACTGTGGGTCGGGGGGGGGAGTAGTGTTTGTTAATTCAGAGCTCTTCCATCACCGGCGATCTCCGGCATTGAATGTGTTAGTCTCGTGTGGGGCACCAAGGAGAGCTTGGCTGTCTGGCTGGTGTACCGACCACCCAGCACACCGGCAGCCACCCTGTCAGACCTGCTGGAGGTGGTGGCGGGCTGGGCCTTGGAGTTCCCAAACCTACTGGTTTTGGGAGACTTCAACATCCATGCCGATGCCGCTCCCTCCTCACAGGCTCTGGACCTAGTGACTTCCATGGCAACACTAGGGCTCTCCTAGTTTGTTTTGGGCCCCACTCATCAAGCAGGCCACACGCTGGATCTGATCTTTGGGGCTGGCATAGATGTGATCATGCTTCCCCCTGTGGAAGTGCCATGGTCTGATCACTACGCTTTGAAAGCCAAGATTGACTTCCCGCTCCTCCCCTGCTCGGGTGGCAAACCTATTTGGGCTCGTCCGCGAAAACAGATGGATCCTGATAGATTCCGACAAGCCTTGCGGGACCCTGCTCCTCCTGGTGACTCATTAGATGACCTTGTTGAGGACTGGAATAACCGGCTCTTGGCAGCCATTGATGAGATCGCGGCTAAGCGCCCTCTGCGACCCCCGTCGAAACCGGGCCCCTTGGTTTACTGAGGAGCTCCGAAAAATGAAGCAGGATCTCAGACGGCTAGAGCGAGTATGGCGACGGACTCGTGACGGAGCTTCAAGAACATCCTATAGGACGCTTATGAAAGCCTATGAGATGGCTATGAAAGCTGCTAAGAAATCTTACTTTGCAGCTGCCATTGCATCCACTAGCTCTCGCCCGGCACAACTTTTTAGAATAATTAGGTCAATAACGTCCTTAGGAGGACAACCAAATTTAAGCACAAATTCGACCCACAGCTGTGAAGCATTCGCGAGCTTTTTTGCGGAGGAAGTCCTGTTGCTCCGCCGTGACCTCCCTGCCAATTTAGATATAGTGACTGAACTGGAGGCCCCTCGACTTTTGGACGATTTCAATTGGATACTCCCTTCTGATGTGGATAGATTCCTCCAAGTTGGTAGGCCCACACCTGCCTCCTTGATCCGTGCCCGTCTTGGCTGATTAGGGAGTGTCCAGATGTCGTGCCGACCCCCCTGGTTGAAATTATCAATTTGTCCCTTAGCACGGGGACATTCCCAGGGGAACTGAAGGAAGCAGTGGTGTGTCCACTCTTAAAGAAAACTTCACTAGATCCCTTAGACCTATCCAATTACCACCAAGTTTCAAATATTCCATATCTGGGTAAGGTAATTGAGAGAGCGGTTGCTGAGCAGCTTGGTAGGTTTCTGGAGGAAACAACGGCTTTAGATCCATTTCAGTCTGGTTTCCGTCCTGGTTTTGGGACCGAGACGGCTCTGGTTGCCCTAACAGATGATCTCCGTAGACAACTGGATCGAGGCAGGTCAGGACTGCTGATTCTTTTAGATTTGTCAGCAGCCTTTGACATGGTCGAGCATGATCTTCTGGACCACCGCCTCGCAGACGTGGGGATACAGGGCATAGCCCGTAACTGGCTGTGCTCTTTTATCTCTGGTCGGGCACTGAGGGTGGCACTAGGGAGGGAAATGTCGTCACGCCATTCCTTGGTGTGTGGAGTGCCGCAGGGCGCAATTCTCTCCCTGATGCTTTTTAACATTGTTATGCACCCCCTTGCCCAGATTATCCGGAGCTTTGGGCTGGGCTGTCACCAATATGCTGATGACACTCAGCTCTATCTGCTGATGGATGGCCACACCGACTCGGCCCCGAACACACTGACCAGATGCTTGGAAGCTGTGGCGGGATGGTTTTGTGGGAGCCGATTGAAACTAAATCCTTCGAAGACAGAGGTCCTATGGCTGGGTCGGGATGGCATGGGGATGAGGGACCAACTCCTTCTCTTGCGGGGGCCCAATTAGTGCCATTGCCTTCCATTAAGAGTTTGGGTGTAATCCTTGACACCTCCCTTTCCATGGAGGCGCAGGTTACAGCAACAGCCAAGGCAACATTTTTCCACCTTCGCCACATCAAGCAATTGGTCCCTTACCTTTCCTGCCCCGACCTGGCCACAGTGATCCATGCGAAGGTCATCTCCAGGCTTGACTACTGTAATTCGCTCTACGCGGGGCTGCCCTTGAAGCTGTCCCAGAAACTCCAGCGGGTGCAGAATGCTGCAGCGAGGCTCCTCACAGGGTCTCTGCCATGGGAGCATATTCACCCAGTGCTTTTCAAACTGCACTGGCTCCCAGTAGAGTACAGGGTCAGATTTAAGGTGCTGCTTTTGACCTTTAAAGCCCTTCACTGCCTAGGACCCTCATACCTACGGGACCGCCTCTCCCGGTATGCCCCACGGAGAGCCTCAAGGTCCATAAATAGCAACACCCTAGTGGTCCCGGGTCCTGGTGGAACGCTCTGCCTCATGAGACCAGGGCCCTGCAGGATCTGATTTCTTTCCGCAGGGCCTGTAAGACAGAGTTGTTCCGCCTGGCCTTTGGCTTGGAGCCAATTTGATTCCCTCCCTCCCTTTCTTTTTTCTTTTACTTCTCCTTCAATGAGACATTTTAATATTTTAATGTTTCAATATTTTAATGTTGTATTTTAATTTTGTTTTAAGTTGTAATCATTCAACTTGTTTTCATTATTGCTTGTTAGCCGCCATGAGCCCGGCCTTGGCTGGGGAGGGCAGGGTATAAATAAAAAATTATTATTATTATTATTATTATTAGGGTCTTTAATGCGAAATCTGTTTCCCAACTCCTTTATGCTTCACACGTCTGGTACAGTGGTCTGTTTTCTAAGTGAGATGGGTTCCAAGCTAAGTTCCCTACTTCACGCCCCAAACTGTCCCTAACTCAGTTCTACTGTTGGAAACAGGTGAATGCCCACTCTCCACCAAAGCATGGTGGGCTGCCTTGAATTCTGGCTGTCTGATATACCCTGTCAGAATAGGCTTTGCTTATGCTGTCAGGGTGTTGACTCTATGAAGCATATTCTACTACAGTGGTACTACCTTGGTTCCCAAACTTAATCCGTTCCGGAAGTCCGTTCCAAAACCAAAGCGTTCCCAAACCAAGGCATGCTTTCCCATAGAAAGTAATGCAAAATGGATTAATCCTTTTAAAACATTTAAAAACAACCCCTAAAACAGCAATTTAACATGAATTTTACTATCTAACAAGACCATTGATCCATAAAATGAAAGCAATAATCAATGTACTGTACTATAAAATAAAAAAGATAGTATTGTAGATGATAAAAATTACAATTTTTTTTTTCTTACTTGCACTGATGATAGTCATTGTTTGGATGGGGGGCTTTTATCCATTTCTGCAGTCACACAATCAATCAATCAGTAGCTGAACTGGGTTCTACACAGTCACAAAAACAAATTAACCAAAAAAGGCTCAAAAACAAAAACGCAAAATAAATAGCAAAAACAAAAGCGCCAAACTTATTCCGTTCCGGAAGTTTGTTTGACTTCTGAAATGTTCGAAAACCAAGGCACAGCTTCTGATTGGTGCAGGTGCCCTGGAAACAATAGCCAACAGCTGCATCAGACGTTCAGCTTCCGAGAAACGTTCAAAAACCGGAACACTTACTTCCAGGTTTTCAGCATTTGAGAACTAAGCTGTTTTGAGTGCCAAGGCGTTTGAGAACCAAGGTGAGCAGTTCAAACAAGCCAGGGATCAGTTAATTAAACCTCTGTTAACTGGAAAATCTGAAACCTTCCACCTATCCTTGGAGATATGTCAAATGATACTGTTCTGGCTGGGGCTAAGTTCCTCTCAGAAGTATTAAGAAACAGAAACCTACATGCTCGGATGAAGCATAGTGATCGCCTTGGAACCCTTTCCCTGTATTTCTGTTTTATTTTGCTTTTGAAAATGTTTTTGGGGTTCTTTGGACTGAAATAAAGTATGTGTGTGAATGTAGAATGAGAGGTGGTGCTATTTTGTGCAGCAAAATGTCTTAGACTTCCCTGATGTCCATTAGTATCCGTATAGAACGTAAAGAAGTAACTTTCTCCTGGTGTAAACTATATACACTTTCTTATATATGTAATAGGGACGCAGGTGGTGCTGTGGGTTAAACCACAGAGCCTAGGACTTGCCAATCAGAAGGTTGGCGGTTTGAATCCCCGTGACGGGGTGAGCTCCCGTTGCTCAGTCCCTGCTCTTGTCGACCTAGCAGTTTGAAAGCACGTCAAAGTACAAGTAGGTAAATAGGTACCGCTCTGGCGGGAAGGTAAACGACGTTTCCATGCGCTGCTCTGGTTCACATGATCTCGAAGCTGTACGCCGGCTCCCTTGGCCAATAAAGCGAGATGAGCGCTGCAACCCCAGAGTCGGTCACAACTGGACCTAATGGTCAGGGGTCCCTTTACCTTTATATATGTTATAATAAAATTGGTTTTTGCAATTTTAGAAGATAATTCACTTTTAGAATTTTAGCAAATGGTATATGATGATATATTCTTAATTATTTGTGTCAATTAGATAAAAATAATTTGTGTACTTTGTACACATAATTTACTTCAAAATATAGGCTTCTGTTCTGTTGCTCTGTTCTCTATATTCATTCAAGGGACTGTATTTGCAGAACTTTGCAGAAGATACCGTGCTAGTTACTAGTTTAACTATATTTTTCCATGGGGAGCAAATTTTAATGTTGTTTAGTTATTTTATAATTTGGAACTGAGTAAATAGGAAGGCATAAAAAGTGTAAAACAGGAATACAGTAATTGGTTGGTGGATTGCTCTAGTGAGATACTAAATGACATCTCTTGGGACCAGTGACTAGATACTAATACATATGATGATTTGCCAGACCCTGGTCCCCAATATCAATCCCATAATAATAAATTTAGTAAATGAGTAATTGTACCCTATTTATAATGTCTGCTTTGAAACCTTGCTAGTTAACACCCTTCTCCTTAAATTGTGTTTTTTTGCAAAGACTTTAATTATCTTGGCATTATGTTACTGATGTTTGGAGGATCTTAGCCAGGGTGGGGAATTGGATCAGGCCAAGAGGCCAGATGGTTACCGCCCCCCCCCCTTGTGGGTCAAGTTTGGGTGCTGCTGCCCACTTTCACCATTTTGGCTCAGAGGCTTCTAGAATTGGTATCGGAACACCTAAAGATAGAATTCCTCACAGATGTATCTAGGATATGTATTTTCTCCCATGGAACATTCTCCTCTTTTGCGAGCTGTCGTATCATAGTGCATGCTTATTACCTAGTTCTGTATACAAGTATAACATGGTGCCATCCCTGTTTGAATTATATGAGATGTTTTCCCTTTCATCCTGAACTGAAGGGATCTCAGCTTTCTGTAAGGAGGCAGTTTGAAAGCTGCTCTGCAACCTTTCAGATGTCAAAAGACCAGCATTCTGATTCCAGGACGGTTCCCATGGAGCCTGTCCCTTCTGTACAGGCCTGACTTGTCCCAAAACATTCCCAAGTGCCTAACCAATCCAAACTCCTCCTCCCAGCACCCCTATCTCTTTCCACACACTGAGACCTCTTAGCTTTACCTCTTCTACTGTTCCTGCACATCACAGGAAGATACATTGCATATATATCTTCTTAAACTGATTGTGGAGCCAAATCAATTATCTTCTAAAGCACTGAAGGAAGGAAGCTACACACAAACACTGTACTTTATACATGCTGAGCATTTCACTGCTACCTGCAATCTTGCTGTCATCCCAGTGATGAAAATACTAATTAAGTAATTGCTAATTGAGATAACACTATTAACTGTTAAGGCTTCCATAGGGGAAGAAGGAAGAAGGATAACAAGTGAATATTTCATTAAGAGCAAGGATAAGTTCACAATTTTGTGTTGAAGTAGTATGGATTATAAGCTTTCTTTGAGAAGTGTATGTTTTACGTTTTGGTGGAACACTATTACCGTATTTTTCGCTCTATAGGACGCACTTTTCCCCCTCCAAAAATGAAGGGGAAATGTGTGTGCGTCCTATGGAGCGAATGCAGGCTTTCGCTGAAGCCTGGAGAGTGCTCTCCAGGCTTCAGGCAGCTATCCGTGGCGGCAGCTGATAGTGTCTTGCAAATGGAAATGGCTTGGACTAATGGAAAGTAAATTGATTGTGCAGGATAAAATACTAATCAAACGCTGGCCATCCCTGCCACCTCCTGTAGTCTGCCTGATCTATACAGAGTCATTACTATGCAGATTCCCTTCATCAAAATAAAAAATAGAAAGCAAGAAGTGTGAAACAAAACTAAGTGAAGCAGAGCTCATGGAAAGAGTGGAACTGAAGTGTTTCCCTGTCTTTTCCCTAGTCCCAGATTGGTGCACCTCTCTTCACTCACAGTAAAATAGTAGGATGTTGAGACACATTGGACTCAAGCAGGGTTTTTACCCCCTGCTGGTTCCCCTAAAAAAAATAATCTCAAAAAACTGGAATGGTAATTATTGCTCTTTACTTAAATCCTGTAGGTATCAGTTTCAAATTTTCATATAAAGCCAACATACTAAGTAAAGCATAGCATAATAGACTATTTAAGTATGGGGAGTTTAAATATATAGGCACATTATGCACCAGATAAAAATATGTCTGTTAATTAGGAAATTTGAATGGCTTGGGATTCAGAGTATAAAAGTTTGCTGTCTAAGGGATGAGCGAGAAATTCAATTCACATTTCATGATCATGGCGCTGAATTTTCACACAGCCTGATCTAGAATTAGCTGTGAAGGTTTTCTAGAGCTGCAGCCTAAGCATGAAAAAGGAACTGAAGAATGTAAGGAAACATTAATAGCACATAGCAGTGTGAGAGAGGATCCTTCTGGGACACCACAGAGGCCTTTCCTGCCGACCTCTTACCTGGGAGTCAGCTGTGCAGCTGGCTTAAAATATAACAGCATCTCCAGCTGCTTATGCCACTTTCTGTTGCTCATGTGATGGATTTCCAAGATTATGTGTCTAACTCCCAGCATTTATTTAAATCACATATACTTTTATTGGATTTAGTATTTAAATTATTTGGCTTATGTTTTCACAGATAACAGTCTCTGTTTGGGTTATGTTAGAGGCCCTGTGAAGATTCTTGAAAGAGTATCCTACAAATTGCTCTTCCACAAAAGAATGATATCTGCTGTGGTCACTGAATTCTGTGGGACCACTTTCCATAGAAGAGTGGAGGGAACTTTATAGCTGATACAACCTTTTTCTCCTAGGATGCTGGGTTCTGATGTCATCCCACTGCCACATATTTATGGAGCCAGAATTAAAGGAGTTGAGGTTTTTTGTCCGCTTGATTCCCCACCTCCTTATGAAGCTGTGGTTGGCCAGAATCATGCGCAGGTACTGTCCATTGGATTCCACCAACTTGATGTGCTTTCACAGCAGGTTATTGAATTTTCATTTTTCTGCTTAGGAATAAGTAGCGAAATACGTTCAGGTTTTAACTGGAAGTTGCTAAATTGGGAATGAAAGATATTTAGCTAGTTTGGATTTTATGTCTATTGAGTATATACTTTTGCTTTTTTTGTAGTGTTGTTTTTTGTAGTATCCTAGTATTAGATTATATGCATCTTGACTATATACTTTTGGTTTTTGTAGTATCCTAGTATTGGATCCAAACATAGTCATGCACTGAGTAGACCCATTTAAACCAGTGGAACTCAGCCTCATTGATTTTCAGTGAATCTACTCCATGTATGGTGAGAATCAGAGTCAAGTCCCTAAACCTGAGTGTAATACTAGAAGCTGAAAAGGCATAAATAGTATCTTCAACTTCACTGGTAATCTGAATTTTAAAATATATATAACATGTTTTGCTGTTCAAAGCAGGCTTTAAAAATAATAATGAAGTTTTCCCTGAGGGATAAGCTACTTTCCATTTGCATAACTCATTTTGATAATAATTAGTTTAAAAAACCAAGCATAATATGGTTTGTCTTGCTTTTTGCCCAGCTTCTTATACCCCACCCCCACCTATGGCCCAAGGATTATATGCTTGCTTGCTAGCTCTTTAATATTTATTGGTCTTTGAATGGGAGGATAGGTGTTGGTTTTACCAAGATACTGAAGAGCTCTTGAATTGTCCTTTCTATGAATTCCCTATTAATACTTATGTGGATAATGTTAATTTTTTATTTAGGGAAACACATTTCAAATTTCAGATGCTTCAGAAGCAGTGATTGGCTCACCAGGACAGAATGAGGCACAAGTATCTCCAGGTAAAGATGTAGGCTTGATTTTAAGTACTTGAAAAAAACGCCTTTGGAAGTGTTGTGGTGGAGTTGATGCTGAATGAATAAGCAGCCAGCGGATGCACCTCTGTAACAGATGTTTCCTACTATTGTTTTCAACAGTGCAGCATCTAACATGGGATTTCATTAGAACAATTTACCACAGTTAAGAGTATTAAAGGTGATTCACCTGCAAAACGTGTTCCTAGAACCCCACATCAGGAATAAGGGGTGACTAACCATTTTTATCTAAATTATTATGGGAGAAAGCACCCTCTGCCTTTGAGCTTCAAACAGATTCATAGAAGATTCACCAGATTGTTCAACAGTACTTTATAATTTTTTAAAAAATTATAGTGTAGCTTCAGATAAGAGCAAACAAAAAAAAGTATGCAGTTCTACCAAGGTTGGTCTGTGAAAAAAGTTTTAAATAGGTTTTGAATAAATGCATTAGTTTATTTAAACTTTTTTGCAGAAATATTATATTCTATCAGGGAAATGTTGAATTCAGGAACCCTGATAGAATAAAGTTTATGGCTTTGTATCACTAGATGGATGTGGACAAACAGATTCAAGCTGACTTATGGTAGATTTCTGTTAATATAATGTTTTTAGAAATGTTGGTGGCAAAGAACGGTATTGGTTGTCTAACTGCAGAGCAGCTGGATGATGCTAACTTTGTGCATCTCTGGCAGAAATCCTGAAACATGGCTTTTTCATGGGAGGAGCCATCACAGTTCCTGTGCTAGCCAACTAGCTCTTGACCCCTGAACAAGACTTTGTCTGCCACTCACCCCATCTTTGCAGTTCTCCTGTTGATTTTTCCTTTGTAGGCAGCAGCTAAAGAGATTAGCAGATGGTTTTAGCAATTCAAGCTGATCTTGAATTGAATTGAGTTGAGCCTGTGGTTCAGCAAGCTTTTGTCAACACCCAGATGGGCAGGGTAGAAATAAAATTATCATCATCTAACTTATTTTCATTTCACTAGGAACTGGGCCAAGATGATCACACATGTACCCAAAACATTTGTTTCCAAAGCTAATTATATCATTTATTTATTTATTTGAATATTTTATTAGTTGAATATAAGAACAACATATAATCAAATACAAGCAATCAAATACAGTTTTCCCCTAACACCCGCCCCCAAAAAACAGCCCCAACTACGTCCAGGTAATTACATTAGTAATATAATCAAATAAAAAATTATTTATACAGTTGCTGGTTTAAAAAATATCATTCCACATGCTTCCATGTGTCTTAGGTGGTTTAAATGCATGTTCTTTCTTTGATGCATATGTAATAAAGGAGGACCATGTTATGTAAAAGTTATGTAGTTTCTCACGTTTTCTTTCACATACCCTTTCTGTTAACTTTTCTATCAAAATTAATTCCCAGACATAAGCATACCAAACTTCATATAGGTTCACGTTTAATGTCCTCCAGTGTCTAGCAACAGCAAGACGTGCTGCAGTTATAAGATGCACAATTAAGTCTTTGTCTCTAAGATTTTGTGCTTCATCTGCAAATATAGAAAGCAATGCTATTTTGGGATCTAAATTGATCGATTAAGATGTAATTTGTTCCATTTCCTGAAATATTTTTAACCAGAAGTTTTTAATCAATGGGCATTTCCACCACATGTGTATAAATGTTCCTTCATTCCCACAATTTCTCCAACATTGCGAAGAAATATTTTTGTCTATTTTGCTCAGCAATGTGGAATGCAAGTACCATCTGTGGGTTAGCTTTAAGGTGTTTTCTCTTATTCAGGCAGAAATAGCTCAAAAGGGCTTTTTGCCACATTCCTTCCCACAATCCATCATCAATCCCTTCTCCCAAGTCTCTTTCCCATCTAGTCTTCAACATGGAGGGCTTTGAGGTTGAAAAATTTACAATCACTTTATAGATTAAAGCAATTAGACCATTACCTCTAGGGTCTCTGGTATATAAAATATTTTCAAATGTAGTTAGTGACTTCGTCCCTTGTTTGCAGATTTCTGTGCTACTTATAAAATGGATGACTTGATGGATTACCATCCAATTGTGGGAAAAGTTTTGAACCATTTCTTGTAGTATTAATCCAGACAAAGGGGTGTTCTCTTTGTAAAAGTCTTTAAGCCAAAACAGGCCCACATTTTCCCATTTTTCAAAGGGGAATGTTCTGTCTCTATTATAGAAAGTAGGGTGAAATGCCAATGGTATTACAGGAGAAAGCTGAGAGGCCATCCTTGGGAACCATTTCTTCCACACTTTTAGATTAGATAATAAAGGGGGGTTTTCTAGCTCAGTGATTTTTTTTTATTAATTTGCCAAAATGGGACCCCTCTTACTGAATTCTGTTCATTTGGGTTTTTCATATTTAGCCAAGCTATTTGTTGAGATCCTTGAATTACCAGAAAAATGCTATGTAGATGGGCAGTTGCATACATGGTATTAGGTACTGCCACCTCCTTTGGCTGGTTTATATAATGCTTTATATGGTAACCTTGGCCTTTTATTCTGGTGTATAAATTTTAGAAGCATGTTTTGCCAATTTTGTAATTTTTTGTCTTCTATGGTTATTGGTAAGAATCTGAAGAGGCACCATCATTTTTATAGTGGCGATTTGGCCCAACCATGACAGCGAACCCTTGCTCCAAGTTTTCAATTTTTGTCTAATCTCTCGGATCATTGGACCAAAATTAAGCTTTTCCAAATTTTGAAGGACTCAACCGACTCCAAGTCTTTATTTGGTTTTGGTAGCACTATGATGTGTGTGCTTTTCCAAGTTCCATGTATCAGGCCATGATCCTTTATATCTGTAAATATTTCAGCAAGAATGGGGCCTTATATCATTTTTGTATTACAGTTGAACCTTGGTTTTTGAGCTTCTCAGAAGCTGAACAATTCGGAACCTGAAAGCCGAAAACCCAGAAGTAATTGCTTCCGTTTTTGAAAGTGCCTCAGAGCTTGAACAGCTTCCACTTTGTTTCTCCACTTTTTCAATGCATTTTGCCAACCACCCTTTGCTCCTCAGTTTTTGAAAGTTTCAGAAGTCAAAGAGTCTTCTGGAACAGATTACATTTGAAAACCAAGGTTCCACTGTATTACTGAAGGAATGAACTTGGCCTTTTCTTTTTGTCCACAATGTTTGCTTCTTTGTGTTTGACAGATTTGAGATGGTACTCCTAATTTTTAATTGTTGTTATTTTGTGTTTCTGAATTAGCTCCTTTTTCTATGGACCCAGCTGTTCAACTTGGGTGATGTCAGATTCAGACATCCCAGATTGAGTGGGCCTTTGTGCACAGGACTGAGATGTAGCCCTGTGTTACCTGGCAGGTCATTCAGCCTATAGAAGTCTCCTGTGGTCTACTCAGACCATGTGGAGGGTCCATCCCAAGAAACCTGCAATGGTAGGAGGACGCTTGCTGTTGGATGGGGGGGGTAGAGGGTGAGGCTAGGGAACCAGCTCACCATGATAAGAATATATCTAGTAGGGCTTTGGAAGCCTTTTGTTCTGTAGATGTGAACGTTGTCACCTATGGTACCAGCTGCTTCATGAAATGACTGAATAATGCCCTAACATTTCTAAGATGTTTTGCTTAAACTTTGGTTCCTTGAGTAATGTGAACATAATTTTGCCAGATGTGACACACACACAGTAAAAATGTTTTTGGATGTTGTTCTAGAATGCCCTGTTGGTGCTACCTGTGACAAGGAGTATTTTTTCTCTTTTACAAATAACTTAGTGTGAGTAATACATAGTTTTTAAAAAATAATAATTGCTTGGGAGCCAATATTTGATTTAGAAATAGTCATAGAAATCTGTTTGAAATAAATATTAATACATGTCCCGAGGATCTTTTTTTCTACACACTTCAAGTGTATTCTAACTGATTTTCTTTTCCCTTCTGAGTTGTTACTTTGTTTTTGCAGTAGGTGGTGATGAACGTAATTCTATAACTAGAGAGACCACCTTGCATCCGGATGCCAGTTTAGTCCCTGCAGGAACCTCCAAGACAGTCCTCAAGCCTCTCAGGAAACGATCAAAAAGTGATCCTGTGCTCCATGGATTTCCACCAAGAGGTGACTGGGGTTTTCCCCTAAGGAAATTTACTATAGCTTTCAGTTGTGGACCCACTCACTTTTATTTTCAGCCAGTGGACGGGAGTGAAGACCTAGACTCTGACCCTGTTTTTGCCCAATTGGGCAGTTCAAATTTTGGTGTTAGCCGGTTATCCTGCCATCCACAGTGGCAAAGGAGGTCCCAGTTGCCAGTCATGACAAATAGGCTTTTTGTCCCCCTGGTGGAAGAGGGGAAGCCGTGCTAGGCCGCAACTGCTGCCCACCCAAGAGCCAGGTAAGCAGCCATTTCAGGCTGCAAAATAAAAGAGGTCTGCAGTGGTACCTTAGCTTACATACGCTTCAGGTTACATATGCTTCAGGTTACACACTCCGCTAACCCAGAAATAGTGCTTCAGATTAAGAACTTTGCTTTAGGATAAGAACAGAAATGGTGCTCCGGCAGCGCGGCGGCAGCAGGAGGCCCCATTAGCTAAAGTGGTGCTTCAGGTTAAGAACAGTTTCAGGTTAAGAACGGACCTCCGGAACGGATTAAGTACTTAGCCCAAGGTACCACTGTTTTTTGTATTTAAGACTTTTTGATCTGTAATTGGACTGATGCCTTGGAGGAGCAAGTTAACTAATGTAAAAATTGTGTGTCTGTCTGTCTGTCTGTCTTGTTAGTGTGTATTCCTTAGTAGTTTCTTAATCCTAGCAACAATTTTGTAAAATACATCTTCATTTTTTTTTTAATGATATTTATTCCAAGTTTAAAGTTACAAAAAAGAGAAAGAAAAACCATACAAAATACAAAGAAAAATTTAACCATAACAAAGCGAGAAATAAAAAGATAAAAGTGAACAATAAAATAGAATAAAATAGAAGACTAAACAAAAAATATAAAAATGCATTAAGTTAAAATAGAACAAAAACAGATTAAACCTTTACATAGCCTTTTCCCTTTACTTATTTCCATGACCTCCTCTCACCTCCCAATTTTGTATTCTAGTTCAGATCGTATTTCCAGCAAATCCTTCTAACCTTATTTTCATTTACGTATTTTAATTTAAAATAATGTAATTAAACCTCCTCTGTTTCGTCAATTTCATCAACTCATTTTTGCTTAATCCTTTATATCATATCTACCAAAACGACCTAATTTTCTTTTTCCAACCTCTTTCTAACAGTCTTTTATATTGCAATATTTTTGAAGGTATATTTTGAATTTTTTCCAATCTTCTTCCATCGACCCTTCTCCCTGGTCTCGAATTCTGCCGGTCATCTCAGCCAGTTCCATGTAGTCCATCACTTTCATCTGCCATTCTTCTCGGGTGGGCAATTCTTGTGTCTTCCAGTACTTTCCGATGAGTATTCTTGCTGCTGTTGTAGCATACATAAAAAAAGTTCTATCCTCCCTTCGCACCAATTGGCCGACCATGCCCAGAAGAAAGGCCTCTGGTTTCTTCAGAAAGGTATATTTAAATACCTTTTTCAATTCATTATATATCATTTCCCAGAAAGCCTTAATCCTTGGGCATGTCCACCAAAGGTGAAAAAATGTGCCCTCAGTCTCTTTACATTTCCAACATTTATTATCGGGCAAATGATAGATTTTTGCAAGCTTGACTGGAGTTAAGCACTACCTGTAAATCATTTTCATTATATTTTCTCTTAAGGCATTACAAGCCGTAAATTTCATACCTGTGGTCCATAACTGTTCCCAGTCAGCAAACATAATGTTGTGTCCAAAGTCTTGTGCCCATTTAATCATAACAGATTTAACCGTTTCATCCTGTGTATTCCATTTCAACAGCAAGTTATACATTCATGATAAATTCTTAGTTTTAGGATCTAACAATTCTGTTTCCAATTTTGATTTTTCCTCCTGGAAGCCAATCTTCTTATCTAAATTATAAGCCTCCCTTATTTGATAATAATGAAGCCAGTCTCGAACTTTAGTTTTTAATTTGTCAAAGCTCTGCAGCTTTAATCTATCTCCATCTTGTTCTAAAATTTCACAGTATTTTGGCCAATTTGTCTCCATATTGATTTTTTTCAGAGCCTTAGCCTCCATTGGTGACAGCCACCTTGGTGTTTTACTTTCCAACAAATCCTTATATCTCACCCAGACATTAAACAATGCTTTCCTGACAATATGGTTCTTAAAGGCCTTATGTGCTTTAACCTTGTCATACCATAAATATGCATGCCATCCAAAGACATTGTTAAAACCTTCTAAATCCAAAATGTCCGTGTTTTCAAGAAGCAGCCAGCAAAATGCGGCTGATTCATAATAAAGTTTAAGATCTGGCAGGGCAAATCCACCTCTTTCTTTAGCATCAGTTAAAATCTTAAATTTTATTCTGGGCTTCTTGCCCTGCCAGACAAATCTCGAAATATCTCTCTGCCATTTCTTGAAACAGTCCATCTTGTCCAAAATCTGCAATGTTTGAAACAAAAACAACATCCTAGGCAATACATTCATCTTTATCACAGCAATTCGGCCCAACAATGATAACTTCAATTTTGACCATATTTCCAAATCCTTTTTCACTTCCATCCAGCATTTTTCATAGTTATCTTTAAATAAATTCACATTTTTAGCAGTCATATGAACCCCTAGATATTTCACTTTCTTAACCAATATTAATCCTGTCTCCTTCTGAAACCTCTCTTTCTCAATCTCTGTAAGATTTTTCTCTAACACCTTGGTTTTCACCTTATTCAACTTAAATCCTGCTACTTGACCAAATTCTTGAATTAATTGCAATACTCTTTTGGTACTGGATTCTGGCTCCTGTAATGTCAAAACCAAATCATCAGCAAAGGCTTTCAATTTATACTGTTTAGCTCCGAGTTGTATACCTTTAACCAATTGGTCTTTCCTGATCATGTTAAGCAGAACCTCCAGGACCGATATAAAAAGCAATGGGGAGATTGGGCAACCCTGTCTTGTTCCTTTCTCAATCTTAAACTCTTCTGTAACCACGTTGTTTACAATCAACTTAGCTTTTTGTTCTGAGTAAATTGCACCTATACCGTTTTCAAAACCTTGGCCTACCCCCATTCCCTGTAAAATTTTCTTCATAAAACTCCAAGAAATATTATCAAAGGCTTTCTCCGCATCCACAAATATTAAAACTGCTTTAGTGTTAATATTAACTTGTAATTTTTCTAAAATGTTAATTATATTCCTCGTATTATCTGACAAATGCCTCCCGGGAGAAAGCCCGCTTGGTCCTTATGAATTTCTTCCACCAATACCTTTTTAATCTTTTAGCCATAATTTCCGCAAAAATTTTGTAATCCACATTAAGTAGAGATATGGGACGGTAGTTCTTAAGCTGTGTCTTTTCCGCTTCTGTTTTCGGTATAAGTGTAATATAAGCTTCTTTCCACGACTCGGGTGCCTCCCCCCCCCCCAATATTTCATTGCAAACTTCTTTCAAAGGCTGTATTAACCATTCTTTCAAAGATTTATAGTACTTTGCAGTCAGACCATCTGGCCCTGGAGATTTGCCCAATTTCATATCCTGAATGGCTCCTTCCACCTCTTGGTCAGTTATTATACAGTTTAGCATTGATTTACTCTCTTGCGAGATTTTTTGTAATCCATTTGTTCTCAAAAACCGATCAATGTCTATTTCTTTCTGAGTCTCCTGCGTGTATAACTGTTTAAAGTACTTCTGAAAACACTTTCTAATCTCCGCAGGGTTCTGTATGTTCTTTCCCTCTACTACCAAATTCGTAATAGTATTAAGTTTTTGTCTTTTTTTCATTTGCCATGCCAGCAGTTTCCCACACTTGTTCGCTGATTCAAATGTCTTTTGTCTCATCTTCCATTCTATTTCCTGATTTGTCAGTTTCATATATTGTACTTGATATAGCTTTATCTCTTTTAAGATCTCCTGTGAATTCGGTTTCATCCTCAGTCTCTTTTCTCCATCCTCCTTTATTTTCTCCAAGATTTTTTCCCTTTTCTCATTTTGAACTCTTTTCCTAATTGCATTTTGTTGTATCAGAAACCCTCTCATAACTGCTTTACTTGCATCCCAAATCACTCTTTGTTCAGTCGTGGTATTCATGTTTATCTCAAAATAGTCTCAAGTTTTTCTGGGCCTTTTTGATAATTTCCTCGTTCCTAAACAGGGAGTCATTCATCCTCCATCTGAAAGATCCAATTGGCATTAATGTCATTTCCATCTTCACTGCATTATGATCAGAGCAAATTTTAGGGCAAATTACCGCTTTTTTTATCTTCGGGGCCAGTCCCCTAGTTATCCAAATTTGGTCTATTCTTGTCCATGTCATTTTAGCTTCAGAGAAGAAGGTTCCTTCTCTTTCCAAGGGGTTCTTTGTTCTCCAAATATCTACAAGATCCATATTGTCAGTCATTTCAAAAAATGTCTTTGGTAGTCTGCCATCTTTCGTCACCGTTTGTTTTTGGGCTTTAGCCATATTTGTAGACACTACTCCATTCATATCTCCCATCAAGATTATGTTGTAATCCAAATAGTCCAGTAAAATTTCATGCAATTTCTTAAAAAATTCTGATTTTCCCTCATTTGGTGCATAAATGCCTAATGTCAAAAACTTCTGACCATGGGGTTGTATTTCAATTGCGATAAATCTTCCTTGGTCATCTTTAAATAAAAATTTCGGTGACAGGCTTTCCTTTGCATAAAGTACTACTCCTCTTTTTTTAACGTTGTCTGATGAAATAAATTCTCCCAATCTTTTATTGATCAAAATTTTCCGATGTAGCCTTGTCACATGCGTTTCTTGTAAACAAATCAAGTCCAAATGTTCTTTTTTTAATATATGAAATACTCTCCCCCTTTTTTCCCGAGAGTTCAGTCCATTCACATTCCAACTTAATACTTGCAGTGTCATGATGTACTTACTCTCCTTCTCCCCCAACAGCCCCCAACAGTTTGTCTATATCTGTCGGTGGCGTTGATTTCCCTTTTTTTGTAAACTCTTGTCCAGTGCGGCAGGCTCTTTTCCAAGTCCTTTCTGTAGGTCTTCTTCGTATGTGCTCAAAAACTTATTTTTTTCCTCCACTGATCTTATTTTTATCTTTCTTCCTTTGAAACTAAAGGATAGGCCTTGAGGGAAATCCCACCTGAAGAGGATCTTACTTTTTCTCAACAGGGCCACCAAATCTCCAAAGTCTTGTCTTAAATCCAAAAGATGTTTCGGTATGTCTTTGAAGATTTCCACTTTTGATTGCAGAATTATCAAGGGTTTCTGGTAATGCAAACCCAAAATTTTGTCCCTTTCTTCTTTAGATCAGAGGGTAATCAGGCAATCCCTTATTTTAATCTTTTTTCCTCCTTTTCCCAGTCTGAAGGCCCTCACGATCTTAAAATCTTCTTGTTTCAATTCCGATTTCCAAAATTCTGCAAATTCTTGTGTCAAAAAATCTGTCAGGGTGCCCGTCTCCAGCTCAGGAATAGCTCTAAGAATTCGTCTGTTTCTCTTTCAATTCGATCATAGACAGCGTCAACTTATGATCTGCAATTTCCTTCTGTAGGCCAGGGACCTTCTCAGTTTCCAGCTGCTCTACTTTAAATTCCACGGCAGCAGTTTTTTCCTGTGTCGATTTCGATTCCTGCAATAATTTCTGAATAGATTCTGTATTGCTATTCACCTTTTTCCCCAAGTTATCTAATGTTTCTGTGTGTAGATCAATTTTTTTATTTGCAGTATCAACTTTCTTATTCGTTTCTTCAACCTTCTTATTCGTCTCATCGACCTTTGTGCTAAGTTGTAATAAAGTTTCATTAATCCTGGCCAATGCATTTGCTAAAACTTCTTCTGCCATTCCACTGGACTTAGCTTGTGTTACTGTCGTAGGCAGACCAGCAGATGATTGCCTTCGATGCCCCCAGGCTTTCCCAGACCTCAAAACTGACGCGTCTAATTTTTCTTTCCCATCTGCCATAACAATGGAGAAGCCAAGGTCACTCTCAGATAGGCTATTCCTGTTTACCAGTGGAAAATTCCCTTGTTGCAATTTCAAAAAGTCCCCCTAGGTGGACACTGTTGCAATAGTCCAAAGAAGTAACTTTCCTTCTTAGAGTAACAAAGGGAACTCCAGTCAAAGAAAGAAAACAGTTCAAATTAAATTACCTTCCAGTTATTTTTCCAACAAAGCTGGCCACAATGTATCCACCTTACTGTCAGCAGATCTCTTTTGACAGCTTTTGACAGCTGAGACGTCTCACTGGCAGATCGTTCCCAGGGGATTTTTACACTTCTCCTTTCTTTGAACAGCTTTACACAGTCCAAAGCAACCCCCTTCCTTCCCTGCTTTCAGAAGGGTAGATTCAGAAAAGTTCTCAAGTCGGAAAACAGCTCTTTTCAAACTTGGTTTCAACGCTTTAGCTCTAAAGTCTCTATGCTTTACACTATCTACAACACGGGAGGCAGACTTCCTGGTTATACCTCCCGCCGCGGTAGCCAATTCAGTCCTTTTTTTCTTTTCTGATGAACCCAATTCAATCAGTCTTTTATTTTTAAAATAAGCCCAATTCAGTCAGTCTTTTGGCAGTCCAATTCCGCCTACTCACGGATAATCCTTTAAGATCCAATTGTTCCAGGATAGAAATCAGCGCTCTCCAGCAACGGCAACGCAGCTTCGCTCCGTGAAAGCAGCAATTGACTCACAGCACCGCGCCTCTCCCCCGTTCCGCTCCGAAGCCTCGGAAAGGGCTTCCTCGCGAGTTGGGGGGGCGCTGAAGGGTGCCCGCCGAGTCCCCACGTTCGCAGGCTTCACTGCCTGCGATTTCTAAGGGTCCCCGCTCCGCCGCAGCGCTCAGGACCCGATTTTCACGGAGCCGACCCCCTCTGAGATCAAAGGGAATCCGCCATTAGCTAATGGCGCTGACCGGAAGTCTGTAAAATACATCTTCAGGGATGTCATTTTGCATACTACTACAAATAGTAGATGAAGTGTTAGGCCTGTATTTGCACTTTACCATTCAGATACTGTAGTTTTCTGTGTCTGACACTGCTGTTTGCTAAATTTGTTTAGTCCAAAAATGGGGGTCATCTTATACATAGATGGTAAATGCACAGGGCTTGGGTTCTGGTTCTTGAAATATGGCAACCCTACCCCTTGGGCCAACTGCTGCAAAAAAAAAAAAAAAAAAAAAGCTCAGGAACTTAAGGCAACTTCCCTCGAAAAACAACTTGGGGTGACCTCCCCCCCAAAAGCTCAAAGTTGTTCTGTTTGATGTTTAAAATACTGATTTCTTAATTTTGGGTTCAAAAAAATAGGGATCGCCTTATAGTAGTACTATCACAAACAGTTTTACCATCTTATTTTCTGGTTATGAGTTGCCGGTCTAGTGGCAGAGTTAAAGCCCATCCAATGAATTTTTGGCAAATACAGGATTTGAACTGACGTCTTTTGGGGCCTAAGCCAGATCAAGTTTCTGGAACAGAGCTAGAAAATACTAATAACTTCTTAAGCATCTGTTCCAGTCTGTTGTATGCCTATTCTATACAATACTAATATTTAGAATTATTTGAAGCCACCATTAAATTTCACGCCAACTAAGTTTTCTGCATCTAGTAAGCAGTCAAGACTGCTATCATGCAATCAAAGGCAATATTGTGCAAGTTGCAAGTAGTATGGTTGAGTGTGGATGACCATAGTAAGTCATAATAAAAACATATACTTCTCTGAAATATATATATCCTTAATACTGATTGACTCTACACTTTTGTAAGACCTATGATTATCAGGTTCCCCTTTTTATAGCTAAAGACAGCTGATCTGCCTTATTCTTTTGGGAGGTAGGAGGGTTTGGCAAACATCACATGCTCTGCTGTGCACAATTCGAGGTGCTGGATGCAAGCCTACGTATATGCTACCCAGAAGCATTTCCTTTTTCTTTTCAGGTCCAGTGCTGAGTTGTGAAGCTGCTACCCAAACAGAATTAAAACCAGAACTAGCTACTGTCACTTTGCGAAAGAGTCTGAGAGCAAAGGCCTTGCGCTCACGGCCTCGGTCTTTGATAGACTACAAATCCTACATGGATACTAAACTGCTCGTGGCAAGGTTTCTAGAGCAGTCATCCTGCACCATGACCCCTGACATACATGAACTAGTGGAAGACATAAAATGTGTTTTAAAATCAGATGAGGAGCACATGGAGGAAGCCATCCACAGTGCCAGCTTCCTTGAGCAGGTAATTGATTATTGCAGCTGAACTCCTATGTTCCTTCACTGCAATTGACATATCTGGCTTTCAGGATGCAGATTCATTTTGTAGCTGCAGTTTTGGAAGTCTTGCTGGCCTGTGTCAACTTGGTTTTTGAAAGGAAAAATAATAGTTCAGTCAGAATCAAACAGTTTAGGATTCTTTTTATGCTAGGTACTGAATGTGGTGATGGAAAAATCTAGTCACAATTCTCTTCACATTTCTCCAAGCCTGGAGCTAGTGATAATAAGTGGTGAATCTGTGTCAATATTTTTTATTTATTAACTTTTCACTTCTGAATTTATAAAATTTATAAAATTCATCCCTATGGCAGAGTGAAACAGCAAGAAGGATAAACATATGCTAACTTCATGTGGAGGTAGTGATCATGTTAATGCAGGAAAAAAACTCATTATATACTGATGTAGTACTACTGACAAGTATGGAATAATATTTTACTCACTTGGAAAATAACCAAAAGGACTATGATACTTGTGAATGAAGCCTCCAAACTCATTTAGCAAAACATAAAAATATGGACCAGCCCCTTCGATTATCTGCAGCCCTTTAAAGTCTGGAGCTGGGAGGCGGATAAGTCTTAGATACACAAATAACACCACAAACAGGGGAAGAAGAGTATGTGCTGGGGGAATGGATCGTCTCTTAATATATCTGCTTTGGTTTGCTAGGTTACTATCAAATACGAGATTATTTCCTGCTTGTCCAATTCCATACTGAACTAGGAAAGGAGTGGAAATGGCTCAAGTTTTGAAACCAGCCTGTTTGCCATAGGCCTCTTGCTGCTTTTATACTAAAAAAAAAAAAATCTTTTTAAAAAGCAAAGTAGATGCAACTCATTTGTCTGGATTACTGAATAGTTTTGCTATCGTTAGGAGTAAGTGCTATAGACCCATCAATAAAAGACTAAATTAGAGTCTTTTTAGGTAGCATTCCAAATAAATAAAGTTATGTACAGGCTCAAATTCACATGTGACTTGACTGTTTTTCAACATACTGAATGGCCCATTTTAGTGTTTTAAGATTGTTGGGATTTTCATAATGAGAAGTAACTGTTTTCCTCCCTTGATATAAAAATGTGAATGGAAGGTGTTATAAGGTAAACAAAACTGTACTTCCCCCCCCTTTTTTGTGAAGGTAATGATCCCTGCGTGTTCATCTGCATCAAAGGCATATACGCTGCCTTTTAGAAGGCACCCGGGACTCCTGCACTTGGAGAGCTGTGGGGATGTGAGTACTTTTACTACAGCAGAAACCCGGCGGCTGGAGAGAACACAGAGGTCAGAGCCTGAACGGCCACATAGTCTCATTGGAGTTGTACGCGAAACAGTGCTCTGAACTAATAGCTATGAGTACTTTTATCAGATGCAATGAACAAACCAGAAAACCACTCTGTGAAAAAACAAGTTAATCTGTATTTCATACTTATTGCTGCTTTTGGAAACAATACTTGAGGACACTGTTGGAAGAGGTTACTTCTAGGAAAACCTCAGAATGTTCCAATTTGAAGCTGTCTTTAAATCAAGTATATTCAGGTGCAATTTGTATATATGAGAAGCACTTTTATTGGGTGTTGGGAAGAAATAAGAGCATGTGTTCGAAGATGTTTGGAAGCAACTGATTCATTCTACTTAAACTTCTGTAGAAGGGCTTTATGCCTCCAGTAGCTGTGGCTTCACTTGCGATCTGCAGTTAATTGCTTGTGTTTGGTCTCCAAGGAAATATGTGATAGAGTTAGCCATTGGAATTGATGTCAAACTAAAAGTGTTTGCTCTCCTCCACCCTTCTCTGGAGATCAATTGGTGCTATACACTCATTAGCAGATGAATCACACCCTCAATCACAACTATTCAGCTGGATAAATATGCAACGGAAAACACCAATGTTGTCCACATGTACTGTGTTAAGAGTAAAAACAAAATTGATATAAAGAGTTTACAATGGGCCTCTCAGCCATTGAATGAACCTGGCTTTAATTTTTTGAACATGCTACCTGAAAGTGTTAAGGAGATAAGGAGAGCCCTCAGAAGAGCATACATTGCTGTCCCATTCAGGAAAAACAGTCAGAATTCAGACCTCATCATGGGACTGAAACTGCCTTGGTCACGCTGGTCAATGATCTTCGGCAGGCTAGAGACAAAGGTGAGAGCAGTTTCCTAGTTCTGCTGGATCTCTCGGGCATTTGAAACCATTGACCATAACATCCTTCTGGACCGCCTAGAGGGGCTGGGAGCTGAAGGCACTGTTAATACAGTGGTTCCGCTCCTTCATTCCGGGCTGTGACCAGAAAGTGGTGTTCAGACCCCTGGGCTCTCACTTGTGGGGTGCCTCTGGGTTCCGTCCTCTCCCCCATGCTTTTCAACATCTACATGAAGCCGCTGAGAGAGATCATCGGGGGGGGGGGGTTGGGCTGGGTCAGTATGCGGATGCTACCCAGCTCTACCTCTCTTTCAAATCAACCAGTGAAGGTCCTGTGTGAATGTCTGTAGGCGGTTGGAGGATGGATGGAGGCTAACAGATTGAGGTTGAATCCTGACAAGACAGGAGGCGGGCTGGTGTGGAGGACTCCCTGGTCCTGAATAGGGTAACTGTGCCCCTGAAGTATCAGGAGCGCAGCCTGGGAGTCATTTTGGGCTCCCAGCTGTCCACGGAGGCTCAGGTCAATTCTGTATCCAGGGTGGCTGTCTACCAGCTCCATCTGGTATGCAGGCTGAGACCCTACCTGCCCGCAGGCGGTCTTGCCAGAGTGGTGCATGCTCTAGTTATCTCCCGCTTGGACTACTGCAATGCGCTCTATGTGGGGCTACCTTTGAAGGTGACCCAGAAACTACAACTAATCCAGAATGCTACAGCTAGACTGGTGACTGGGAGCGGCTGCCGAGACCACATTACACTGGTCTTGAAAGACCTACATTGGCTCCCAGTACGTTCCTGAGCACAATTCAAAGTGTTGGTGCTAACCTTGAAAGCCCAGTATACCTGAAGGAGCGTCTCCACCCCCATCGTTCAGCCCAGACACTGAGGTGCAGCGCCGAGGGCTTTCTGGTGGTTCCTTCACTGCAAGAAGTGAATTTACAGGGAACCAGACAGAGGGCCTTCTCGGTAATGGTGCCTGCCCTGTGGAACGCCCTCCCACCAGATGTCAAACAAAAAAACCACCAAACTTTAGAAGACATCTGAAGGCAGCTCTTGTTTAGTGAAGCTTTTAATATCTGAAGGAATATTGTATTTTAATCTTTTGTTGGAAGCCTCCAAGAGTGCCTGGGGAAACCCAGCCAGATGGGCAGGGTAGAAATAATAAATTTCTTAATCTTATGTAAAGCACTCCTTTTAAGTTGTTTGTGAGACATAACTATTTCAACTATTTCAAAGTACAATTACACTCATCTCTTTAGATGTTAAAAGTAAATTATGCTTCAAAATGTTCTTCCTCACTCTGTGCATATTTGTAAGGGCAAAGGAAGTGATTTTCACCAATATTATTTTATGTCAAAAAAATGAAGGGCTGAATCATTAATTGCAGCTTCTTGTAAAAGTGGGAGTTGTTATGACCATGGAGAGTTCTCTTCCCAACATGGATACAAATATTTATGGAGTTCTGGAAGGTTGTAGAAATGGAAATCCATTAATAACAAGGTAGTTCAATCAGAATAAACCTTCCTAGTTCAGCATTAATGAAGTTTTGGCTATAACCTAATGCCTTTTTTGGTTTGTTTCATTTTTTATTGTTGCAAATCTTACAGACATTAGCACTCTGTTAAGTAAAGGAATGTAGCACACATGAATACATCACAACAAAAGAGAGGCCAAAAAATTAAAAATAAAGTAAAAAAATAACCACCCCATCCCACCCACAAGCTGCATTACAGAGAAAGGGGCCAGAAACCTGTGATAAGAGTCTGAGAAATTACATTCAGTAAATGTGCAGTACCAACATTCCAGGTTCACATTTATATGGAGAGAGAGAGAGAGAGAGAGAGAGAGCTCATCAAGTTTAGTGTTTACAAGAACAATATTGTTACAAATACAATACTATACTTCTCCTGACGCATTTCAGTGATTTCTATTCACCCTCTTTACAGAACAGTAGTATAAATATCATATTCTTTAGTACTGTGCTCAGTCCCTATGTATACACACACACACACACACACAAACACGCTTGCCATCTTCAGACACAGATTTCTTTTTATTCCCAGAAGTACAAAGACCTCCCCTCCCTCTCCCCAAAAGCTTGTACTTGAAAAATCCCAAAACATATTGCAAATTATAATGCAATTCAGACACACACATAGAAAAATGGTAAATCAAGAGGCAATTTCAACTGTTTTGTAAACATGGAAGAATTAATAAAGTACACAAGTAGGCAACTATCATTCTTGCTGAGTTTAGCAAACTTGAAGTATAAAATAAATTCTTCCTTTGATCCCAATACAGTACGTAATGCTTACTAGAATTTCTTAACAAGCTGTTAAAACATCAATTTTAACATAACCTTTCAGTCCATATGGTTCTTTAACATTGAGAGGTCTAGAGCTGGAAATCAGGTCACAAGTCAGATTCCCTATGTACAAGCAGCACAACACTGCAACCGTGCTGAGAAATGTCCACATGAACCAGGTTGTATGTGAACATAGTTGACAATGTTTTTTGTAATTGTGACAGCACTTTCCCAAACTTCTGCAGTTCTAAGCAGCAGCAGCGGTTTGTCTCCATGTCTGGCTCCCCCTTCCACTGCACCTGTGAGGCCCTGTGTGCAATAGCCCTGTGTGTGTGAAAGCAATGTGAAACTTACGATGGAGCAATAAAGGCCAAGCCCAAAGAGGTTTAGGACACTGATAATTTTACTCTCATGTAATAATTTGAAAGACATCGAGTTAAGGACATGGTTATGTTTCCACCAGTAATGGTCTGATTTTATATATATATATCCATTCCAGTCCCATTTATATCCTAGTATCTTGGATGTTTAATAACAGCTGTGAAAACATGCCTCTTGGCTAAGCCTGAAAAAGAAATAGATCTATTCTGTGAGTCAACATGGTTAAGTGGTTGGGCTTTCAAGACCAGCTTTTCATTCAGGGATTTTCTGGAAAAGCTGTTCTGTATATAGAGAAACAAGATTTTCCTGATTGGGTGTCGATAAGATGAATAATGGCTTAGGACAGGCATAGGCAAACTCAGCCCTCCAGATGTTTTGAGACTACAATTCCCATCATCCTTGACAACTGGTCGTTAGCTAGGGATGGTGGGAGTTGTAGTCCCAAAACATCTGGAGGGCGAGTTTGCGTATGCCTGGCTTAGGAGGAAGAAAGTGTGTTTCCTTGTGGGAAGCGGGAAGAAAGGGCTATAGGTTAGTTGGAGTTGGTAGAAAAAAATGGTGAACAACACTATGTATAATTTAATTTTATATGTTCTCTACATTTGCTACTATTGCATTTAGTTAAGGAACTTAGGGGTTGTGTGCTGTTGTGTAAAGTCCATTCTTTACATCTTACTGAATCTAGGTAGCCTCAGACCAAGTACAAACTATGGCTGTTAATCTGGAATACCAGCATTACTATCTTTAGAGATCCCATGGCTTAGAATCCCTTTAATTTAATAAAAGAGTTGTGCAGTGTTGTTACTCTGAAGATATTCAATTCCTATATTTCTTTGCATCATTATTTGGCCTAGTCAAAAGGATACTGATAGTTCTCTTTTCTACTGCAACTCCCTATTTCAGAAGTGAAAATGCAATCCTTGCACGCTTCCCATTGTCCCGGTAGAAAAGCTGTAATGACATACACAAAATCCACATTTTTCAAGGCCATTTTTGAGACACAGTGCGGCTTTTTCTCCCTCTCCAACTTTTTGTTCATTTACACCTCACTCCCCCTGCATCACAGTTAAATAACTTCAATAGGCTGTAAATCCTACAGCTGAAAATAATTCTTCTGGTTTTGCTTTGGAAAAAATGTGGCCAATTTTTTTGGAAAAAGACTTTCCTTACATACATTTGCTAATGGTTTCTTATCTAGCATGCTGTCCAGGTCCACACCACTTTGCGGTGGTGCAATAAAGCAACAGCATCTGACGCCGGCCAAAACATGCAGCCAAATATGCACAAGTCCTGCCCCCTCCAATGCAGAGTTGCCTCTTGGTTTCCATGGGCTGAGGGGTTAGGCAAGTGAGGAAGATATTGTTGCTAGACTTGTCCAGGTTGAAATATTTCTCTCTCTCTCTTATTATCTCCTATAAGACTTCTACAGAGTGAGTCTTTTAAAAGAGGCCCCGTGGAAAATGTGTACTCTGTATCCACAGGGCCTCTTTTAAAGGACTCACCCTGTATATGGGCAATATTATGCAACTGTACATGAACAATTCATTTGTGAATAAAGAAAGGGAATTAACATTCCATTCCTTAGCCCCCCCTAACAACTTGTGTGTATCGCAGGGCTTGGTTGTGGCTCAAGCATCTGTTACACAACCAGCTCCTTTCCTTCCTAGAACTTCCATGGCTGTAGTGGGAAGTAGGATCCACATGTAACACCCATGCAGGGCACTGAATCCCATCAGAATCTGCAACATGTGTGCATATCCATGCAACATGCAAACACCCCCAACCCCTTCCCCTGATACGTCAGTGTTGCCCTGGACAGTAAATTGGGCTGCCACTTTATCAGTAGTATTCCAGATTTCCTACCCCCTACACACAATATTAGGTTCCAGAAATGCAGCTCTCTTTCCTCCAAAGAATACTGGGACCCCTTGAAGGGCAACACATGTATTGTGAATGACACAATCTTTTGTGGGCTCTGCCCCAAAAAGGATCATGCCATAATAAATTTTTAAGTGTTTAAGGTGCCACAGGAGCATATTACAGTCTATGGACTCCTTTGATTTTAAATATTATGACCAAAGCCTTTTGGAATGCTCTTTCATTGCACGAGCATCTACAGTAAGTGAGCATACCCTTTTAGCATCCCAGGCATGGGATTAACTTTACATATATTTATATATATATTTATATATATATATTACAAAATAAATTAAGTTTATACCTTCCACTATTTTGCTATGGTCCAAAATTAATGAGAAATTTTCTTTTAAAAAAAATTAAATACAAACTTTTGGACCAAAGATATGTTAGAAGTAAACTGGCTCAAAACAAAACCATTTGGAACTGCATGTAGACTTGCTGAAATACATAAATATCAAGCATACAGTTTTAAAATGTGACAGCCTATCAGCCCACAGACACATTCATACATACACAAATGGGAAAAAAGTTAGAAAGTTAAGATCTGACAGCAGTATTGTCCACACACCCCACACTGTTTCTGGTGGACCACTCAATCTTAGAAAGTACAGAACAGAAAAGCCATTGCAAGAAAAATCATGCTGCACATGACAAATAGGAGACTTTGGGGAGTGTGTGAGGTGGTGGAGAAAGAACTTGCAGCATCATCTCTAGACAATGTACATTTTATTCCCAGAGGATTCTCAGCATGGGATGAGCAGAACCCAGCAGCAGCCCCCTCCTCATAGACAGGTGTTGAGCTACATTAGGAAAGCAGAGCTCACCTGAAAGACAAGGTGTCATCCCATTTCCTTTTTCAAACACATCACAACTTTTTCTTTAGGGCAAAATTGTCAGCTTGTTGCTAACATACACCTAAGAGCAGCTATGTAGGATAAAACAAATCTGCATCCTTTCTGTCACTCAAAGAAGAGAATTTTACCTATTTGGTAAAAAGAGCTTTCTAACTTTATTTTCTATCCTAACAGCCAGAGAGGCATAAAATGATGTAGCTGGAACAAGTGTGTGTGTGCGTGCGTGCGTGAACAAGAAATTCTTGGTTAGTTTTCTGTTTTGTGAAGAATTACATAAAACTAGTAGTAAAAAGGTGCAACCCAAAATGTCATCTTGTACACAGAATGATAAAAGGTGAGAAACAAGAGTGAGACATGTTGCTGCAGAAATAAAAATGCAGCACTAGAAAGCTCCACTAACAAGGAAAAGTGTCTCCCCTGCACACTGGGGGCGACAACTTTAGATGTAAACCGGTTGTTCCTGTGCGGTCAAGAGTCTGTACATGGCAGCTGGCATGGTCTTCATATGAATCTGGACAAAGGAAAGAAAGACTGGCGTCAGTTTCATATATGCGTTTTCCAAACATTCACAGTTAGCCTTCTGAAAATCGAAGGGCTCCTTCCATCTGCGCAAGGGATTGAGACCTAGCAGAGGTTCCCACTGCAGGTGGAAGAACGGGATTTTAGCTTAGCTGAACTTCTTCCCTTGGCAGCTTGCCAGCTTCACACACTGTTGTGGAGGGTTTCCCATGCCTCTAGAACAGATTTGTGGGGTTTGCAGGGAGAAGGAAAAGTAAGCAAGGAAAATCCTGTGAATGGAGTTCTGGTTATGGAAATACTTCTTGCAACCCTTTGTGCTCAGGAATGAGGGAGATGTTCAACAAAAGGGGAAAGGAAATAAAGAGTGTATCCTAAATTAAGGTACAGTACTTGAGTTTCTACATTTTTGCAAAGACTGCAACACCATCCATGTAGTATAAGTTAGAAGTCCCACCGAACTCAGTGGGACTTACTGAGTTCAAGTAAATATAGACATCATCAGCAGATGCAAACATTAACCAAATGGGAACAAGTGTGCTACAGTTATCTTCAGTTTTTTCAGACCCAGGACACATCTCTAAGCATGTTTATTAATTTATTTTATAATAATCATTTATTTTTTCCTCCTCACTTGCATCATCTGTATTTCTTCATCTCCTTCCATCTTTAGTACAGCAACAAAAAGAAAACACTATGGTAGCATGGGGACTAGTTCAAGCAATTTTAAATTGGGATATTATCAAATTGTGGGGTGCAACCTACCTCCACAGCTGTAGTGAATAATAAAATATAATAAAATAATAATAATAATAATAATAATAATAATAATAATAATAATAATATATTTCTACCCTGCCCATCTGGCTGTGTTTCGCCATCCACTATGGGCGGCTTCCAACAAAAGATTAAAAAAAGATAAACAACAAACATTAAAAACTTCCCTAAACAGGGCTGCCTTCAGATGTCTTCAAAAAGTCAGCTAGTTGTTTATTTCCTTGAGATCTGGTGGGAGGGCGTTCCACAGGGCGGGCACCACCACCAAGAAGGCCCTCTGCCTGGTTCCCTGTAACCTCACTTCTCACAGTGAGGGAAACACCAGAAGGAAATGTACTGGGAGCCAATGTAGGTCTTTCAAGACCAGTGTAATGTGGTCTCGGCGGCCTTTCCCAGTCACCAGTCTAGCTGCCACATTCTGGGTTAGTTGTAGTTTCCGGGTCACCTTCAAAGGTAGCCCCACATAGAGAGCACTGCAGTAGTCCAAGCGGGAGATAAATAGAGCATGCACCACTCTGGCAAGACAGTCTGCAGGCCGGTAGGCTCTCAGCCTGCGTACCAGATGGAGCTGGTAGACAGCTGCCCTGGACACAGAATTGACCTGAGCCTCCATGGACAGCTGGGAGTCCAAAATGACTCCCAGGCTGTGCACCTGGTCCTTCAGGGGCACAGTTACCCCATTCAGAACCAGGGTGTCCTCCACACCAGCCCACCTCTGTCCCCAAAATAGTACTTCTCTTGTCAGGATTCAACCTCAATCTGTTAGCCGTGATCCATCCTCCAACCGCCTCCAGACACTCAAACAGGACCTACACCACCTTCATTGGTTCTTATTTAAAAGAGAGGTTGAGCTGGGTATCAAACCCCCTGATCTCCACCAGCGGCTTTATATAGTTGTTAAAAGGCATGAGGCAAGAGGACAGAACTCTGAGGCTTGTGGTGTCACAAGTGAGAGCCCAGGGGTCTGAACACTCATCCCCCAACACCACTTTCTGGACACGACCCAGGAGGAAGGAGTGGAACCACTGTATAACAGTGCCCCCAGCTACCAGCCCCTCTAGATGGTCCAGAAGGATGTCATGGTCGATGGTATCTAAGGCCGCTGAGAGATCCAGCAGAACTAGGAAACAGCTTTCACCTTTGTCCCTTGCCCGCCGGAGATCATCGACCAGTGCAACCAAAGCAGTTTCAGTCCCATGATGAGGCCTAAATCCCAACTAGAAGGGATCCAAATGGTCCACATCCTCCAAGCATGCTTGGAGTTGTTCAGCAACCACCCACTCAATCACCTTGCCCAAGAATGGAAGATTTGAGACTGGGCAATAGCTGGCCATATTGGCCGGGTCTAAAGATGTTTTTTTAAGAAGCTGTTTAATGACCGCCTCTTTCAGCCGGTCTGGGAAGGCTCCCTCGCAGAGGGAAGCATTCACCATCCTGCGAAGCCCATTAACTAGACCAGGTTTCCTCAACCTCAGCCCTCCAGATTATTTTGGCCTACAATTCCCAAGATCCCTAGCTAGCAGGACCAGTGGTCAGGGATGATGGGAATTGTAGGGCCGAGGTTGAGGAAGCCAGGCCTAGACCTTCCCGGCTCGCTTTTATGAGCCAGGATGGGCAAGGATCAAGGAGACAGGTGGTTGGTTTCACTTGTCCAAACAGCCTGTCCACATCCTGGGAGGTAACAGATTGGAATTGATCCCACGCAACTTGACTAGACAGGACTCTAGTACTCTCCCACCCTGGCCCAGCTCTCACGGTGGAGTCTACCTCTTTCCAAATCTGAGTGACTTTTTCTGCAAAAAAACTTTGCAAAATTGTTACCAGGCCCCGATGGCAAAGGTGGTTCCGTTAAATTGCGAACCACCTTAAAGAGTCTCCTGCTACTATTTTCTGCAGATGCAATAGAGGCGGTGAAGAAAGTCCTCTTTGCTATCGCTATCGCCACTTGGTAGGCTCGATGTTGAGCTCTAACCTGTGTCCAGTACGATTCAAAACGGGTTGTCTGCCACTGGCGCTCTAGCCGTCTCAGCGATTGTTTCATCGCCCTCAGCTCCAGGGAAAACCATGGGCTGTCTTGGCTCCATGCAATCGGAGTGGACGCTTCAGAGCCAGACAGTCGATAGTCCTGGTTAACTCCACATTCCAGCAGGCCACCAGGGATTCAGCTGAAAGGCTATCAACATGGGATAAAGCATCCCCTACCACTCTCTGGAAACCTTTTGGGTATCCATTAAGTGGCGGGGGGCAGACCTTGCAAATTGGTCCACCTCCCTGCAGAGGGGAAGGGTCGCAGAGAAGTCCAGTTGCACCAGGAAGTGATCTGACCATGGCACTAGAGAGCTGGCCAGGGAGAGCCAAATGAAATG